TTAGACTCTGAAAGTTCAGAAGGAATGATAACAATAGATACAGAGAATTTTGAGGAAGGCTATTCTGAACAGTCAGCTGGTAAGTTACCTACAGAATACGTAAGCATCGCAGTGTTTCAGTCACGTGAGAGTAACAGTAGCTGTAAATTGCAGGATATTAGCATTTCCTTTATCCTTTCATACAAATTGCAGTTGAATTTTCTTTGCAGAGGTTTATAGCTGTGGAAGAGAAATTAAGAAACAGGGAAAGAATTATGAAGTAAGAGGAAGCTGGCAAATTGGAAAGATTCAAGGAGACTGTTTGGTATTGCAGAAGCTACAGGCTTGTACTAACATTGATCATATTGCTTCCAGGCTATAGAGCCAAAAATGGGTGAAAAGGAGAAGGGAAAAGAGAAAAGACATATGAAGTTTGATCTCATAGATACATGAACTTATCTAAGGTAGGAAAGAAGTTCTGAATATTACACTGATGAGTGGAGGGAAGAAGCTGTTGCTGCAAAGTCAGGTTCCTAACTGCTAGTATTTTACAGTAATCCATATTTACACCTTTAGATCTTTCAGATTTAGCAGCTTTATCAACGAAAGACCATTATTTCATTCCTCTGCAATTTGCTGTATACATTCACAGATGGTTTGATCCAAGCATATCACTTGCTGTTGCAGCCTGTCAGAAGTTTAAAGGGAGGAAAACCCGACGGATGTCATAAAGGATGTCTAAGAAATATTTGTTGTTTTATTCATTTTCCTCCTGAACATTGCACTCAGTATATTGTAAAGCTTCTTGAAGAAAATGCAATCTAATGTACTGCCTCAGTAAACAGAATGAAATTAAGAAACCATTTAGGGAAGACTGAAGGATTCAAGACAGTGGTGGTGATAACTTCATTTAAATATTCCAGAATAAAAGGAGAATTTTTTTCAGAATAAAAGGACCATTGCCTCTAAGAAGAGAACTGTGCAGAACAGATTTTAAATGCTGACTTCCAGCATGGTGGTTGTAATCAGTTTATAACATTATCTACCTGATTGTCACAATTCCAGGGCTTTAAAAGAAGGCATATGATACAGCAGTTTACTGAAAAGGACTGAGACAATATACAGAACATTTTTGTCTTAGATGCAGTGCTCACACCGCATTATAATCTTTGTTCCTCAAGTTCAATGTTGTGCAAAATTGATGTAATTAGCCACAGAAATCTTAAAGGATATGATTGTAGTTTGTGGCAGAAGAAAAAATAGAGTACAAAACTTACTTATGATGATGTCAGAATTTTAGTTTTGCGTACTTGGCCATATATTATTTGTTTTGTAACTAGATATATATCAAACAATCTTCAGATTCTGTGTCCCTGAATTAGACTAAACCCCTATTTAAAGTGGTGCGCATTGCACATCTGAGGATCAGCCCTTCTCAGGCTACTTGATTTTCACTTCTGTCGTGCAAGGTTTCACAAGGAAGATGACTATGGGATAATTAGGGTTACAGAACTATTTGTTGTTGTTGTTGTTTTTTTTAAAGTTGCTTTGAGAGTTTTTTTATACAATTATTTAGAGTTTGAGGAGAGTTGAGGCATGAAGGACATCTTTCATGGCTCATAATTAAATTCAGAAGTTAGGATGGAATTTTCTTATCCTCTCACAGTTGCCAAACTTTCTGCTGCTGTTGTTTACATCTCATCCTTCTGGCCCCATCTCAGGGAACAAGCATTCACCCTCACAGAACAGAGTCTCTATCCTTTCTAGGGATGTTCTTACAACCCTACAGTGTAAAAATTAGCATTCAGTAAATGCATAATGTGTATCCCTTCATATTTTCATCCTGTGAGACCTCAAATTAAATATCAGACTTGTATAATGATCAGCGCTTTTTAAAATCCTTTGTGTTTCTTTTTGGCTTTGTTCTTTTGTTCCTGTCTCGAAGCTGCACCTGAAGTTGTAAGAATGCTTGTGTGAGAGGCACTTCTGCATGATTTGTATTTCTTGCACGTATAAATGAAATGTCAAGCCTAATAGGAATATAATTTAATCCTTGTGCTTTGAGAAGAATAACAAAAAGATTATTGACTATCTGAGAAAACAAGCTTCTTTTTGTTAGTGAGCACAATTCAAGAAAGTGATACGTGCATTCAGTAGGCCATTTCTGAAACTGAGCTACTCAGCAGTACAGAGTCTTTGATGATACTTAGTCAGACAGTGTGCTTTTCTTTCCTTCTATTATTTCAGTGTTTTTCTTTCAGGAAAAGCTCCTGCTTGTTCTATTGTAGATTCTTCATCAAATCTACTCTTGCATTTCTTGGATATAAGGGTTAAATCTGGATTGATCAAGAGCAGTCTAAAAGGCTAGAAAATGTTCTCTCTCATTGTGGCAGAGGAGATGAAGACTGAAAACTGTAAACAGATTTCACATCAGAATTGGTTTCACCTAAAAAAAAAAAAAAAAAAAAGGATTGACATATAAGACATATAAGCAAAAAAGTTTCTGTGTAAATGTATTTAAACAAAGGATAATTTAAATGCAATTGCAGCTCTTCTGGAAAAATACCAGGGAGAGAAATAACCTTGAAAAGCAGATAACTGTTTTACTTCCCAAAACAGAGTCTACCAGAAATCATTCTGTTCTAAGGGAAGCCATCCTTTTTCAGAAATGTGGAATACAACCCTGGTTTTTATTAATTCCCAAGTGATATGAATTAACTACCAGTGTAGCTCATCAGGTAAAAACTTTTGAAAAGGAAGCATTTTACAGGATTTCCTTATTTTGGAAATTCCACCTGCAGCCCTGTGGAATGGTTTGTTGAAACAAGATAAAGATAGAACTGATTGTAACTCCCCTGTCTCCTAGACCAGACCTATTCTCTATTTTATCTCTTTTTGTTTCTATGCAGAGTTCCTACTAGACCATTCCTATGGTATTAAAATTCAAATTAAAATTTAGGTATTAGTTGACTTAATCATGAAAAGGTGCTTTTTTAAAATATCTGCTTCTTCTGTTCTTTCAGTGGCCAAACTGATTTGTATGGGTTCTCTCACAGGAAAGCTTCTGCAGTAAGAATTTGCTAACTCAAGAGAAATAATGTGTCTTTTGGAAGAAAGAGCTGGACTTGGGAATAAGAGTAGGTGAAGAGGACTGCTTTGCTGAATGAAACTAAACAATTTTAATTTGGTTGTCAAGATAGAACTTCAATTCAGCAAACATAGAGGGACTGTATTAGATCAAACTAAAAAATGAATGAACTGGGAGACAAAAACTAGTCTCTTGCTGCAGGTCTCAGTGTTTTTTTTTTCATTTTGTTTTTAATATATAACTTTTTTCCCCCCAATTTCAGTAAATTTCAGTTCAGTGAACATGCTAGAGACTGATACATTCAGAAAACAAGAGTTCAGTTAATTCATATTTCTGCTCCTCTTCTCCATGTTTCCTTTAAAAGAAAAAAAATAATACTAAAGCCATGCTTTTTAGGTTAAGTTCCAAAACTGTATTAGGTAAAATAAAGTATGTTCAGAAAACATTTTACAATATAGAAATATTTTCTTTAACATAAGAACATCATCTCTATTCCAAACTGTGATACATTTTTTTTGTGTTCTGTTCTAGTGAGTTGTTTATAGTATAAGCTCTTGTTTCATGTAGGTGAATGTGTGTGCATACTGGTAGAAATGATGTATACAGGATTATCAAGAAAATGCAAAAAAAAAAAAAAAAAAAAAAAAATCCAGCAAGAATTTTAGAAAAGACTAAAGATTACCATGAGGGTGTATGTCCTTCACTGTTTGTTGGCATTTCTTATTTTGGAGAGTTCTGCATTTTTGAAGTTGGAGTACAAGGTATGAATTGTTGTTGGTCCAGAAGTACCAATGCACTAGCTCTTACATGGTAAGCTCAGCAGCATGTCTAGATAATTTCAGTAAGAACTTCAAGTAAAATCTGTCTTCTGTACCACAGCCTATTTGGAAATAGGCTATCAGTAGTTGTCTCTTCTGCTGTCACTGAATCAACAGTTTCAGGAGCTCCTGTCACTTCTATGTGACCTCACCCCTGACCTCATGACTCCTGCACTTCTTATTGTGCAGTGACCTGTCTTCAGTGGGAAAGCCGAGGAGCAGATCCATTATAGTTCTGCCTATACTTAATGGGAAAGAGGGTTTGTGTCCCTCAGGGAAGAGACATGAAGGCAGGTTTCCTATTTGCTGGCTGTGTGCTCCAACAGTTGAGCTATATACTCAGTTGTTTTTCACACTGACTCAGATTCAGTACTGTATATAGGTTTTGGGTGCACTTAGGATTAGATTAGACCCACCAGGAGATTTAGTTGTGTGAATATTTAGTTTGTGAATCTCTTAATGACCTTAAGTAAGAAGTCCTGACCTGCTTGCTCAGTTTAAACTAATAATTAAAAAAGACGTAAGCATATATAGGGAAGGAAATAGCTAAAATTAAAACTCAGGAGTATTTATGAGCTGTAGGTATTAGAGGTACTGATGTATTCAATTAGGTAGATAAGTTTTTTTTTTTATTAGTTCTTTTGAAAACAGTGTCTAAATTCTGCTTAAACTGAAGTTTAAGTCAATTCCTGAATCTGGACCTCAATGTGTTCTATGTCTTCTGTATTTGTCTAGAAAGTATTGTGGTGTACTTGTTAAAGTTCTATGTTTACATAAAAGTTACACTGAAAGTATTCGAATTAATGTAAAATGGTAAAGTGCTTACCTCTTAGTCTGGGTCTTTTTTCCAGGATGTTCCTTGGTAACTGCAACAATTTCCACTGAGATTGTTTTTATGTTATGCATTTCTGTCTTGGGGTGATAGAGTATTTAATTTTCCTAATTACCTATATGTAATTTATGAAGTTCAGGGATCATTTGATCATTGATTCTATTTGATTCATAGGAATCATTATTTAATCTATTTTGAAGATATGAAATCACAAATGCGATATAAAGAATGCTTTCTATGATATTCCTGAATTTTTCACCTTCTCCTTCTGAAATTTTTTAAGGTAACGATACCCAGGCCTTCTGTAGCATCCACACAGTCTGCTTCAGAGAGCTTTCATTATGGCCACCAGCTAGAGAAAAGAGAGCGGGATGCACAGTCTATGGAACAAACAGTGGAACTTTTATCTCCAAGGGAAACTTTGCCATGTTTGGTTGTGACAGGAGATACCACAGTTAGTGGCAGCAGACCAGATATGGTACTTCATATCAGCCAAGAAGTGCTTGAAAGGGAAGAACATGTCAAAGAACGTGCCAGTGTCCTGAGCAGTGGCCAAAAGGACCTACTTGAAAACCGCAATGGGAGACAGGAAGAGAAGGATCTTGAAAAGCTTCCTGTAGAGACTGAGGAAGAACTACTTCCAGTGGTTTCTGAGGATGCTATTGTAATGCTGAGCAAAGAACAGAATTCTTTGCCAGGAAGTTCGAAATCTGCAGATGAAGAACCTCTAACTAACACTGATGCTGCTGAAGAATCAAAGCCAAGGCCTGTCTGCTTGGTGCCAAATCAAGATGAGCTGCTGAAGTCAACAGCACCTGAAACACCAGAATTTTCTCCATCAAGGCGTATCAACTCACATGCTAATAGACAAGCAAGCAAAATAGCACCAGTTCAGGAAAATGGTTTTCATTCTAATAAGGAAGAAGTCCATGTCCAGGACTTGCAGTGCCACCAAGTGGCTCTTACTACTTTTTTGCATCAGGAGGACAAAAAGGAGAAAAATGCTCCCAGAAATGGAGAGTTATTCCACTGCATTTCAGCAAATGAGAATTCTCATCGATCTAAGAAGGACTTAGTTAAATCTCCTTTTGTATTCAGGCAGAGCCGAATCCCGGTTTTAGCACAAGAGATAGACTCAACATCAGAATCCTCTTCTCCTGTTTCAGCAAAGGAAAAGCTTCTTTTAAAAAAGGCCCATCAGACAGACTTGGTCAGACTACTTGTGGAAAAGAGACAGCTCAAATCTTTTCTTGGTGACCTCTCAAGTGCCTCTGATAAGTCACTGGAGGAAAAAATGGCTGCTGCTCCAGTACCATTTTCTGAGGATGATGTATTATCCTCATTTTCTAAACTGACTCTGGACTCTCATTTCAGCAAGCAGACGGAAGATAGTTCTTTATCTCCAAGCAGCCCTCAGTCCAGAAAAAGCAAGATACCCAGACCAGTGTCCTGGGCCACCACTGATCAAGTCAATGGTTCAAGTTCAACTCGTTTCCTTCCTCGGCCACCACCCGGAAGACCACCTACTAGGCCTGGGGTAGAAGCAAGGTAATACAGTGGAAATAGAGATTGGTTTTCAGGTTGAAAATGGATTTGAGTTAGGCTGCAGTTACTATCCAGCATGTGATTACGTAGAAGTCCCATCCTTATTGTTTTTTAATTGCTGGCCTTCAATTCTCTGAAAAATCTTGCGTTATGGGAAAATGAATGAGGAAAGACTGTTAGTCTGCTTCACCAGTAAATTTTATACATCAATACATGTGTAGTCAAAATTTTTAAATGTCAATCTGTAACTAAATCCTTGCACTTTTTTTCTTCAAATGCAACCACATATTCAGAACTGCCAGTTGTTCACAAACCTACAGAAATCAGTAGGATTTATCATACACAGCACGTTGAACTTATTGTAGAAGCTTTAATTATTCTTGTTTGAAGAGTCCACCCATCAGTATGAAGTTAATTAACTATGCTCTGATCATGGCTAAGTAAAAACAACCACTTAATGGATGACAGAGTGAACTGTAGAAATGCTCCTTTGTAGGTTCTGGATATAGACAACCATGATCTAGTTTATTGAGTGCCTAAATTACCAGGATAACGAGAATTATGATATAATCAGTAGTGTGCAATCCTCTGACGGAGGTTGTGGTTTGCTGTCATTCTTTGTGTATAGGAGTGTACTGATGATGGACAGGAATGGATACATCCCATCAAAACAGATATTGTAAGCACTGCTTTTCTGGGCACTTCAACTTCACTAGGAAATTTCAATTTTCTTGTGGATGCTTAAACTGCTTATGTAGGTGAATTTATACAACTGTAATTATTGGGTTGATTAGAACAACATGGAAGCCAAAACCTAGATGTGAACATTTCTGCCTTACAAGAAAGTTCACATTCAGATGTCTGTTCTGCCATGCAAACTCCAATTAGTTTCCAATCATACTGTATGTCTATTTGAATTTTGGTGAATAGATTGAAACAGAAATATTTTTTCTTCATTTCTTCCTAAGGTTACGCAGATACAGAGTCCTGGGGAGTAGCAGCTCGGACTCAGATCTTATCTCTCGTCTGGCTCAAATTCTACAGAACGGATCTCAAAGACCAAGGAGTTCTACACAGTGTAAGAGTCCAGGATCTCCACATAGTCCAAAAACACCACCCAAAAGCCCTGTCAACCCCCGACGCAGTCCCAGTGCCTCCCCTAGGAGCTCTTCCTTACCCCGTACTGCTAGTTCTTCCCCATCGCGGGCGGGAAGAACCCACCATGATCAGAGGAGTTCCTCCCCACATCTTGGGAGGAGTAAATCACCTCCTAGCCATTCAGGCTCCTCATCTTCTAGGAGATCCTGCCAGCAAGAGCACTGCTTCAACAAACCAAGCAAGAATGGTCTGAAAGGATCTGGCAGTTCCTTATACCATTCCCCAAACACTAAGACTCCCACAGGGAAGAGCAAATCAGCTACTAAGCTTAGCAGATAGGAACTGGGCCTTGACAGGTATAAATCCTCCTCTTAAGTCTGATGCATGTTGTGTCTGTGTACTGTGTATTTAAAAAATTAATCAAAAAAGTATATTTAAAAAAAAAGTGTTGAATCTGCGCTTTTTAAGAACGTAAGCTTCATAAACTATTCATGAGAAAGCATACTTTGTAAATGAGTGGCCAGGCATTGCCTAAGAGCAAGCAGCAAGCAGATCTGGGGGGAGGAGGGGTAGAGGACAGGAAAAGAATGACTAAGGTAGTCAAAGAGGTGCAATGTGTTTAAAGTAAAAAAAAAAAAAAATCTCTAAGGTGAGTGTTTTAAAAGGGTATTTATTTCTATGTTTTCAGTTTACTTAGCTAAAAGATTTGGCCTAATTATTTAAGGCTTGTCTCAAGAATTATTTAAGGAATCCAAAACTATTATTCCCAAAACAACATCACCACCTGGGAGATAAGTGCTGTTCAAGCACGTCTCTACAGTTTTAAAAAAGCACAGTTTATAAGACAATGGTATTTCTACCTTATGAGTCTCTTTCATTTTGAGTTTCACACATCCAAGTCACCTAGTGCTCATCTTGACCCCTATCTACTGTAGCACAGATTTGCTTACGTGAATTATCGTGCATTTTGCCCCTTCTTTACTCTGGTGACATTTTAAATGTGAATATTAACAGTTTCTAAGATGTTTTGTAGTGATATTCTGTAGAAATTTGTTTAGTACTAATTATGATCCAATAAGCTAATTCTTGGTTCCATGTCATAGACTTCTTTGGGAATCATAAGGGGTTCTACCTCATTAGGTAGAATTTGGAAGAGCATCCTCATCTAGGAGATGAGAGAAAGAAGTCTGCAGTTCACTGAACGTTGCAGATTTGCAATGGATTGCAATGAATGTTTGAAAAGGAGTGCCTGATCTTTCCCTAACCAAAATGCAAAAAGAATCCCTGTTACTGCTGGCTTTTGTTTTTTTTCTGTTAGTTATGGATCACTGAAATCACTGATCTTACAGTAAAGAATCGATTATAACCAAGATTATTTTATTTTAATAAAAACATGAAAGATAAACTCCTCGGGAGGATTCAGGTGACAGAAATATAGCCAATACCTTACAGAATCTGAGTAAGAATCATTAGAGCAAAATACATAGAAAACAATCTGAGATATTTTTGTTATTGGGTTTTTGTTATTCTTCCCAAATCATTCTTTGATAGCCAAGCTTTATTATCTGCCAGTGAAGTCTACAGTGTCTAATTCTTCTGATTTTTTTTTTTTTTAGTAGTTACTTAATAATCTCTCGTGCTCTATAGAATCTCAGTAGAGAACATTGTGATACAGCACTTTTTGCTACATTCAGAAGAGAATACTGGCTAAGAATAGTAACAAGCAATGAATGCAATCCTAAAAAAGATGCGGCCAGCTCTCCTTGGTTATAAATGTTGTGGAGATACTGGATGTGTAGGAGACTTGTCAGTTGCTGATCTGCTTGCTGTAATCATATGCCTCTCCAGCCAGCATCTGTGCTTTTTTCTATTTAACCTCTGCCAAATGAATACCTTTGGATTAAAAGGGAATATTTTGTCTCTGAGCTAACACATTCTAATGCTGCATTAAAGCTGCCCTGGACCTGCACTGAATTTCACTTGCTCTGTCAGACTATGTTGATTTTTCTTTTTCTTAATGTTAATATGTATATTGTTTCTCATACGTAATGTAGCACAGTGTAGAATCTTAATTTCATTCAGGTTTCAGTCACTACAGATGAATGCAATAGGTAGGGTATACCTGCTTTTTCTGAAAAAACTGTACCGTTGGAAAGTCTTATTCCTTTGTATTATATTGTATTATAGGTGCTATATCAATAATTGCATGTCCTCATGGTAAATTATATAATATAAATATTTATATATACATATATGTACATGCTTATATAAATTCACTTTCTCATTTTTCACTTGTAATTTATGGACCACACATAACGCAGTTCCCTCTGTTAGTTCCTGAATAGTCCTGGCATTGCATCTCCTATTTCCTGGAGAAAAAAAAAAATCTGGAATGCACAAAGTCTAACAACCTTTATACCTTGGGACAAGATTGAAGGACTACTGATTTCTCGACCAGCCAACGTTTTGTCTTGCAGCTCTCTGTCTTTTTTTAGAATTGTGTGCATTTGCACATAAACAGGAACAGAAACTGAAAGGTATTTTCATTTCTTATCACAAATAGGGCTTATTGATTATTCATTTTTATTTTATAATGTATATTCTTAATTGTTGTGAATACTCATGATATAGGTACAGTGGTAGTCAATGAATATTTGATAGATGAATGTGACAACAACAATTCTATCTTTCCTTCCTGCTTTTCTCATGGCATAAAAAAAAAAAAGAGAAAGAACATTGGTTCCCATTTGTGATATTTCTGCTCTGGGCACTGCTGGAATTATTTGTTAAGGTGGTATGGCAGCCTAAGGTTATTTCCCCTCTACTTTCCCTTATTTTCCATTTTGTTAAGGTCCTTTGAGCTAATTCCTGCATTAATAGGGTCATTTTTAATAGGTACCAATTTATGCATGCTCTCCTGAAATGCTGAAGTTGAGGCGTTTGTATTTTCTCTCTAGCACAACAGAATCTAGAAACAGGTAATTTCTTTACAGATGAGAAAGAATATTAACACCTAAGGATTTTTTGTGCTCTTTCAAAAAATACAGACTTGTTCATTGTTGCACTTTACTATATATGTCAGGGGAGTTAGACTATTTGATCTTTAAAGGTCCCTTCCAACCCAAACCATTCTATGATTCTATATAAAATAAGCCAATGTTGTAGACATTCACCTGAACTTGAACTAGTTGCCAATGTAACAGTAGTAAACTATGCCAAAATAGGATAAGAGATGAATCATGATTGATAATCCAGGCTTCTTTCAATGCAATACAAGGTAAAAGGCCTCTATATCACCGAATGCTTCTTGCTGTGGATTCCACAGAGACTAGTGAGAAAATCATGAAAATACAAACAGGGAAGTGGTTACGAACAATAGGACTTGAATTACCTGTTCTTCTAGAAATTTTTATTGCTTGTTGCCTTCTGCCAAAAACATACAGAATTGCATACTATAGACTAATGTAGCAAATGTTTAATGTAGTTAGGTAGCAATCAGTTGATCACCTCATCTATATATTTATTACTGTAATATTTCTAGGGGGTCTGTTTAATCATCGTGAGCTCTGTAAGCTCCAAACTTGCACATGCAGCTGACTACATAAAATCATCAATGTATGTGTGTGACCCTTGTGCAGAAGGGGAATGAAGGATCCACAGAGGGTATCTGCAACAAATTTTCAGGAATGGGAAAACTTCTCTCCATCGTATACAACAGCTATAGTCATTTTACTTAAGCATCCAGCATCTTGTATAGTAATTTTTAGCTGAAAAACAATGTAATTCAAGGAACTGTTGCTTTGTGCTCTTCAAGTGTCCATTTCTTTGGAGTGCAGTGCAATGGAGCCGTGGCATGTTCTGGATGAAAATGCTGCATGTGTATTTCCTTTTCATGGTGTTACCTGTGCTCTTTCTTTCAATACTTCAAAGCATTTTTAGAGAAACTGGGGCAGGAAGCCTGTAAAATAAAATAGAACTTGAAAAGATAGAACACGTCACAAAAAATTTTGTCCTGAAATTTTACATGATATACTGAATTTGAGTGATGGCATTGAAAATCAATATTAATATCAACAAAATTCGTTATTAATTGCAAATTCTAATTGCTAAGTAACACTGTTAAAAATAACAGGAGATGTCATACAGTATAACGACATTGGCAAGTCATATGATGGTAGGCACCTATCTATTTGAGTAGGATCAGTAAGCACGAACAATTTCAGTGTTCAAAGGCAATATGAGGTTTTAATTGCTAGTATGTACAGTTATTCAGGAGGCACAGACCTCTGGGGAGTTACAGCCACTGGCTGTAATTTGGAAAATCTGGACGTATTCTTGCCTTGAAGACTCCATGCTTGAGATCAAGCTTTCTATCATACCTCACTAAACAGTCTTGGTGTAGAAGGAATGGTCTGGTGCTGTATGTTTCAGAGATTTTTCATCTGAAATAGGCTTGCAAGAGTTCTACCAGTTAGAATTCATAGTTGTTATGGCATTGATTATTGTTGGCAAAACAGAGAATTTTGATTTTTTTTTAATATATATAAATATACCTTTGTACATGTGTGAATATACACATTTACCTAGATACTGTATACTATATAGAAACATATGTTATTTATATACATATATACACATGCTTATGTGTGTATATAGATAGAAACAGTCTCAGCTATTGCATCCTGCTTACTTAAACTCATTTACCAGAGTGAGCTGAGGTCTGTGGTGCTTTGACTTGGTCTGATCTCTGCTTTATCTGCCATAATTTTGCCATGCCCTAATGTTGATTCTCTTCAATTTTACAAAGCCTGATCCTGTAGTTCTCTTTTGGCAAAAGTGCTGTAAGTCTTTCTTATCCCAGTAACATTTATGCAATGGTTGATCACAGTGCTCCTAAAAATGTGTTACTTTTCTCTTTGATACGAATGTAGACAATGCCAGTTAAATGGTGGGGACTTTCCTGTAAACAGATTTTTTCCAGAATGAAATAGAGGTTTCTGTAGAACACTAAGAAGCAGAAATTCTGCTAACAAGGTGATTAATTCAATGTTTTAAAAAGGTTTAGTTGCAAACCAGGAATATTTCCCTACAATTTTTGCATGAATGTTAAAAATGAGAGAGAAATTGAATCTTCCAGAAAGAAACAAGAGAACAAAAGGGAGCTCAAACTCACTAATGAGCTCAATAACTAACTCATGGAACATACTGATAGAAGTTTTGTTGGTTTTTTTTTAATGCAGGAATGATCCTGCAGGGTGGTGAGAGCAATGCCTGTCTGTTCAATGCCAGTGTGCAAAAGGGTTCTCAGGTGTCTAGGTTAATACCATGATCCCATATAGCGCATTCTCTATATGCTTGCCTACCCTAAAGTGTTGTTAGGGAACCATCAACTGTATAAATAAAAGCCTAGGCAATTATCCATGATTCCCATCTTTAACTGTTGAAAGCTTTGGATACTCATTCGTTTCTGCTACTGGCAGAATAACACAGAATATTCTTATTCAACTTTTTTAGCAAACCAAGTAGGCAGTGAACTGAAGGATTTTGTTTGCTGTTTTGATTTGGCTGAAAAGTCTCGTTCACAATTTGCAGTAACTGGTAACTTTGATAAAAGGAAGCAAGATTCAGTGTTTCAGCTCTGTGCGGTCTGTAGGTGTGGATCATGCTGTTCTTAGCCGATGTGTGCAACCATGTAAACATACTCACCTCACACAAGGATACCTCAGCTATCCACGTGAAGCCAGTCTTCCTCTCCCCTATGTGTAACACTTGTAAAAGAGAAATGTTATGAAATTCAGCCTAGATTCTATAAAAACTACCTGGAAGTATCTTAAGATATTGCAAAATGCTGAGAGTTTATTTAATCACAGTAGCAACAAGCCTCGTTTGGTGGTTTAAGTAACCAGATTTTTAATATTAACCTCTGAGCATTTGTTTGTTTGTTTTTAAGGAAGAATTGAAGAGGAATGTATTATTTTAAAGTCTAATGTATTAACTTGGCAATTTTTCCAGCCTTTCAGGATTGAGCATATAGGCTGATTTTACTCTCTGTTGCTGGTAACACATCCTCTCTTAACAGGAGCAGTGACAACACCTCAAGAACTTTATACTTTTGTGGGATTAATAAACATTGCTTTTCTAACGTTCTACAATGGCTGGCAATTACGTGGGCTGTCTACAGGAGTTATTTTCCTTTTGGGAGTCTTCTTCAATAGAAACAACCATGTGGTTGACACAACAAATTTAGCACAGAGCAAATTGCAACCTGCAGAGCCCAGCAGGGAAGCTGAACCTGGGCTGCAGGGGGTACCCTTAGCTTCCAGGGACTGGCTGGTTTTCCTCTACTGCTGCAATAGAGAAATTGTCTTTCAGAGAACAGGAATTTAGTTGCAGTGCTCTGCAACAAGACCTGTGTATCCTGCTCCTTCCTTACCATAGAAGAGTTCCAGCTGACTGGTTAATTTTGGTGCCAAAGTCCTGGGTGAAATTCTCTCTAGTTTTGTTTCAAGTATGTCAGGATTCCCACTAATGCAATGCAAAATTTAAACGCACAAAATTTTACGTACAAATAATGAATGTGGATTTGAAGTTTCTGCTCTAGCTGTTGAGCAATGCCTTTTTTTGTAGTGTGGATGTTAGCTTGTGTTTTTGCTCCTGTTTCTCCCCAGTCCACATAAACAGCTTGGAACCTTTCTGTTCTTGTGCAAGTGAAACTTTCATTAAAATAGACCCTAGTTTTGTTTAGCTTCTTTTTTTTCCTGTGTTGGGACTGAAGGAATAAATTCACTCTATAAATCTTGCATTTGCAGTTACTGTATTTTAAATTGGAAAATGCATATTTTTAGTAAAGGCTGTGACATGACTTGCTTTTTGATCCTTATTTTCTGTAAGAATTACTGCTGTTAGTCAGCTTAGGCTGAGAGTACTGACTCCACTGTTTCTTTTGAAAACAATACTGCAGGTGGGCTACTCATACAGGGTTCTGATGGTCCCCAATTGGCTGTGGGAATTCAGCTAGTACTAATTGGTTACAGGTGTTTGTTTCATTTTGAGATCACTTGATCTTTGACCTAACTTTTACGTAAGGGGCCTCTAGTAGCAGCAGACCAGCTTGCTCCTGAAGGTACATAATGTTGACCAGCTTGGTCTGCATGGCTTCAGATTCTTTTAAGTCCTTATCTGGATTGTGGCAGACGAGGTCATAAAGGTTTGGCACAAAGTGCAGTAAGGGATTTTGGGCCATTTCACATCTTTTCTTTCTCTCTGACTGGACATCTGGAATGATTGCCCAGCAGCCTTCTCTGCATCTTCTGCTTTCTTAGGTTGGAATGCAACACTTGAAATTATTCTTGAACTTCTAACTGATTTTCTGTAGAATCAACCCAGAGATGAGTTGCAGTGTGTATTAGAGAGAGAGAGAGAGAGAGAGAGAGAGAGAGAGAGAGAGAGAGAGAGAGAGAATGAGAAACAGATGTCAATTTTCAAATACTTTCCTATGAATATCCAAAATGCTAAATTAAGGAAATCACCAGCAATGCCTTCAGACAAGTACTGACTTTTTGAAGCTGCAAACCAATGGCTGCTAATTGAAAACCTTTGGGCAATACCACAAAGAATGAAAGTGGTGTATTAGCTAAAAATACAATGTTGTTGCTCCATAAGGAATTAAGTACTTGATCTGCATCATGATTAAATTAAATGCAAAGCTGTTCTGAGGTTGTTTGTTACCATTGAATAAGACAAATGTTGAGTCCTTCAAAATTATTTTGCTCAATAATTGCTGTTCTCTTTCCCCTCCTAGGAAATCTTCTAAGCCATTCTTTTTCTTTTAAGTTTGCTCAGGCAACCAAGAACATAAGAGAGTAATGCGCTTGTAATGGTCATTTGTACATAAAGGTGTAATTATTTATTTTCTCATTTGTACCATATCAAGGCTTTGTACAATGTTTTAAGTTTTGTTTTCAAATTATTTTGTATTTTATTTTTATAAACTGGTTATAAATAAAATATTCATTCAGCATGCAAAACTTCAGTCCTTGATTGTGTTTGTATGGTGATTTTACTGCTTAAAATATATTGTATAAAGTTGATTTTTTTTTTTCAAAAAAATTTTTTTGTTGTTAATGTACGTTAGATGGAGAAAAACTTTTTCTGTTATGAGAAAGCAAAAAGCAAGTGTCAGTTGGTACTACTCCAAAAGAAGTTGATGCTCATACTGCAAGAGTGATTGGGTCAATGAAAGTTCTACTGTTTAGTATATTGATGTATTGTGTAATAAGTAACATTAGGAACAACTCAACCTCCCTCCTTAAAGGCCTCCTTCCTTCTCTATTTGCTCTTGTTCTTTATCCATCCTCTCTGCGTTCACCCAAACAGCACGTGACTGCCATGGCAGATCAGATCAATTTAGTAATGGTATTGTGGATCCCAGCCCTGGTCATGTAGCAAGCCAGCTACACTTTTTAATTCTTAAATGGGTTTAAATTATAATTTCTTATTTAGCCACAGGCCACTGTAATAAATTTATTTTGTCCAGCTGTCTGGACATTCATGCCAAGCTTTTACAGCCTCTTGTAAAGTCTCATTCTCTGTGCAATACAATTTAGCTGCAGATAGCAAAAACGTTACTGAAGTTGTTGAATCTGGGCATTTTGTCCCACATGGAGATGCAGTGTTAACCAGTTGCTCTAGTTCCATCCAAGATCCTTTCATTTCTCTTTATAGAAAAACTAGATAAAAGCACAGTGTCATCACAGTATTTGTGGTCTACGTGCACACTTATCCAAGTCCTTGTGTGCTGTGGAAAATACTGCTTGCTCTTTGCACAGCGGAACAAGGTTGCTAGGGAAGTCTAGAAGAATTGGAGAAAACTTCTGGATCTCTTTCTTGATTTTGCCACTGTTATGCACTGTACGTGAAGCAAATTAAAGGCCAGCTCTGCCCTTAAGAGCAGCCAGAAATGTACTGTTGTGCTGCTGGAGGGTGTGTGTTCTTGCTGTTCCCAGTAAAGCCACCATTTGATAACAGAAAAGACACACAAAGAAACAGAAAGTCAGCTTTATTAATTGGAATTTGAAAATAAAAAATGTACATGCTCTGTACTGGAGGTGAGATAGATATCCCAGTATCTTAAGTTACTCAGAATATTACATAAATAGTGATCAGAACTAAAATGAGAGTGGTCTCAACTCGGCTCTGTACCTAGACTGTACAGTTGAGAGACTGAAGAAGATCCAAGGCTGGAACAGGAGCACCACTGGAAATTGGTGCCGAGATCTGCTCATCTGATTTCTGAAGTTTTTTTTTTCTTTAACCATCTTCACAACTACAGGAGACCCAGTCCACTAGCTCTGCTCTTGAAATCTTGCTGCACTTCTTTGCACCCGGACTATAGCTTTCTTTCATGGAAACATAAACGTGAGACAGCTGTGCAGCACACACAAGCTAGCTTTCCCTAAAAAGGCTGGAGTAAATGAAATTCAAGAATCAATAACTGAAGAAAGAATTGAAATACTGAAAGGACTGGCTACTGCACTCTGGACAAGCTCAAATAACTGCCCCAAAAGACCAGGTAAACTTCTGATTCTCTAACATTTTTCTAACCCAACCTGGGATATCACAGCAGAATTAAGAGGCTGCTTTTTGTATGCGAACAAAACGCAAATGAAGGCTTGACAGATCCCATCTGTATTGAGGAGGAGAAATATAAATGCTTCTAAGAGGTTAATTCTATCCTGGTTTTGGTGTCAGCATTTTATGAGTAAGGTAGTGGTAGCTGTCACCCACACCATCTCCTTTTATAAGGGAAATCAGGAGCTAAGAATCTCCTCCAGGGCATAGACCTTGTGTTAATCCCATGTGGTGGCTGCAATTGAACTGCACCTGGCTGAGCTTCAGGATTTGTCATCCTCTTCTACCGTTTCTTTTTTAGATAGTTCTTTTGGGCCTCTTGAAGAATTTTGTTTCCATTCTTTGCTCAGCAGTGCCTCAGAAGAAACCTGTTAAAATCCAGCTGTCCTGAGCTCCATCAGACTCCTGCACAGGCATAAGATGAAATCCCTTGCTTTGAGGTAATTATTCTAATAGTGTGTAACTGGTGGTGGGGGCATTCCTTGCATTATTTGCAGCTACTGTTAGCTCCCATATTTATCACATTTCAATGCAAATGATCTACTTCCCTCCCTCCCCCCCCAGATGAAATAAATTAGTCCTGTATTTTTGTGTAGTATAGTGCACTGTCCAAGTTGACATAAAAATGAGATACCTTGCCTGATGTTTACTTGTTCTTATGCTGCTAAAAGGAGTAGTTGGGCTGCCACTCTGTATGCAACAGAAACATATGTTCAGAATCACTGGAAAACCAGTGACCATTACCACAGGCCAATTTATCTTTAGAATTTTATACTGGTGATAAATGCTTATGAGGAGGACTTGAATGATTTTTTAGGTGATAGGATAAAAATGCAGGTGAGAGGGTTGCTGTATTTCCTTCAGTGAGTACACTGGACAAACGGCATTCTCTCTGTTAATTTAGAATTTTGCAAAGTAAAGTGATTCTAATATACAAGCTCTAAACACCAGTCTTCCACGTATCTTAACAATAGCATCAGTACTAATATTTTCCTCCTGTTCAGAGTAGGCACTTAACAGGTTACTTTTTGCTCAGATTCATCTTTTCTTTCTTCTTCCTCGGATGTACAGTTACAAGAATGGCAGATTTTATTAATCTCTCTGATAGGTAAAGATAAAAGCATCTCTTCATGAGCTATGCATTTTTCTATCCAGAATCAGCCTCTGCCTCCTGTAATTTATTTAACAGCGAGTCTAAATGTAAAACAATGCAGAAACATTTTTTGTTCTTTGTATTTCAAGTGATGTGATACCAATTCCAGAAAGCTTGCAAAATCAGAAGAGCCTGCTTATAAGCCATAATAAGAAATGTTACTCCATGTCAAAGCCAGGCATCACTCATCAGTTACTGTTTTTGCTTTATGTCTCTATTTTAATAATATCACAAGAAATAGCCTGCTCTGCTAGTGAAGTAAAACACAAATGCCTCTGAGAAGGTGCATTTGGCAAGCTGGGAATGAACAGCAACCAAATGAAGCAATGCTGTATGAACTTGGAGAAGCACATTCATCATCAACAGCTCAATCCTAGAACCATTCATCAAGGAAGCAGGTGTATCCAACCCTTCCTGCCATAGCTTCCTTGCACAGCTGAGACTTAGAAAAACAAAACCTCAAACCAAAAGCAAACAAGCAAAACAGTTATAAGTATTAGAAAAAGCAACTACTTAAAAACACCATCTCATTTTGCCATTTGTTTAATTAAAAAAAACCAAAAACTAAGCAACTCATGTAAGACAGCTCCTGCTAGTCAGTAACCATAACGTTACTTTTTCACCCAAATCTCATGCCTTTTATTTTCCAAAAGGTCACATTAAACAAAGGATAATACAGACAAGAGTTTTAGTCAAAATAAATCTGTTTGTTTTTAAGAGAGTAAGAGGATAAAGAGAACAGCAGAAAAACATTAGCCAACTGAAACTGAGTTAACAAACAGAACTGGTATTTAGTGTTTAATGCCACCTCCTATAGAGAAACATTTCCCACTGGGAAAAAATGCGGGGGGCAAGTCCACTTTGCTCCTTCAAGTTACAGGCCGGAGCAGAACAAACAACAGCACCTAACACCACAGTCACTGTACATATATTCAAGTTTTACATGTCTGCAAAGCAGAAGTAGTAGCAGCCATTTGGATGTTCTTTCTTAATGGTTCTCAGGGGGGGTCTGGGGAACTCTGAAGGACCTGGTTCCTGTGATGTAGAGCTGGAACTGCAGCTGCTGCTCCTGCTGCTGCTCCCAGCCATCTGCACCCGGCCTCTGTCCTCGGCAGGGGAAACCTGGGGAGAGCCTGGGCTCAGGTACCCAGCTGTGGTCTGAGTAGAGGTGGTGGTGTACGTAGTTGGGCCAGTGTTGTTTTTCACGTAGACATTTTTGATAGCAACAAGCGTATGTGCCATGATGCTGAGGCTGTTACTCAGATCCTGCATGCCTTGCTGCAGCAACCGAAGATTGTGGTTGACGCTGTCAAAGCCAGATTGGATCACCTGCATCTGGGTCTGCTGAATCTGCACTAGGTCCGCTTCAGTTATTCCGATTTGGTCTGCCTGGGATCTGCCTTTTGATTTGGCTTTTACCTTCCCTGAGGAAGCACCACCCGATGTCCCCAGACAAGGCAGCTGCTCCTGGCTAGGTGGGACCACTGCCATGTCCTCAGAGCTTTCCTCTGGTTCTACCACTTTTACCACTATCTCTTCTTTTAGGTTCATCTTCTCAAGACCGGGTTGATGAGATGGGCCGGGATCATCATTAAATCCTAGAGATGAGAGGAAAAGCAGAGCAAAGTCAGTGAGGAACTTCACAGTCAGTCAGGTGCGTTTTTACCCTTCAGCACACCCATCAGCCCTTGAACCGAGACCCAACTGCAGCAACTTGCGCTGCGCTGACGCTTTTAGAACACACGGCACCTCAAAACGTGGGGAAGAAAACCCTAAAGATCCATTCACCGAATAGCCGTGAACTGTAATTCCCTTACTGCCCCCACCGCGGGGGCTAAGTTGCAGGTTCCAAAAGACACATTTTGTTCTGCGCTGTGTGTGTGCACGGCGACGCCGATTGCGGGGAATCCCTGGGTACTGCAGCTGCTGTTTCAGCGCGTTAACGCCCCCTCTCTCTGGGACACAAAACCATACGTAGTCACAGCACTTCGGGCAGCCTAGGATTGCACGCTGGCATTCTATTTCTGCAATTTCAAGAACGGGATCTACAAACGTGGACAGAAGGGGCTGGCTTAGCGCCGCCGGGACGGGAGATCCGCTCCCACGTGCCGTTGCCGTAGTGTCACGGGCCGCCGGCTACACGCAGCGCTGCGCGTCGAGGCGCGAAGGCGGCGCCCCGCACTCACCCATCTCCCCCACGGCGGCGCCGGGCAGCTCCAGCGTGTCGATGCCGCCCACGATGGGCACGGCCTCGGCGTGCAGCAGGGAGCCGTAGGCGCGGGGGTGCAGGTGGTGGTGGTGGTGGTGGCGGCGGGCGGGCGCGGCGCTGGACGGCAGCTCCTCGGGAGCCAGCAAGAGGCCGAGGGCTGCGGCGGGGCCCGGCGGCGCGCCGCCCTGAGACAGGCGGCACAGCTTGCTGCGGTCGCGGCGCTTCAGGTCCCGCCAGCGCTTCTTCAGGTCCTCCACGTCGCGGGGACAGGCGGCCACCGGGTTCACCTTGTGCCGGATCAGCTCCCACACCTTCCGCTTCTGGCCCGGGGAGGCGCGGCCCGGCCCCGCCGCGAACAGCAGCCGCTCGTGCTTCAGCACCTGCTCGATCAGCACCTCCGTCTCCGCCTCGTTGAAATTGGCCTTGCGCCGCTTGGGCGAGTCCTCGGCCATCCTCCGCCGCCGGGGGCCGGGGCGGCCCGACGACGGGGGGCCCGCGGGGGGCGCCGCTGCCCCTTCCCCCGGCCCGGCCCGCGGGCGCCGCCGCCGCCGCTAGGCCGGGCCCCGCGCCCCGCCGGGGAAGGGAACACCGCGCATGAGAGGAAAGGACGCGCGCGGCCGGCGCAGGCGCCCCGTGCCCCGCGTGTTGACATGGGGAGGGGGCCCGGCCCCGGGCCCGGCCCGCGCCCGCTCCGCCTCCGCCCCCGCCCGCCTCCCCCCCGCCGGGATTCCCCGCCGCCGGCCCGCCCCGCCCGGCCCCGCCGCGGGTTGTGCGCCTGCTCGGCGGCGGCCGCGGCGCCCGGGAATGGCGGCGGTTTTGGAGCTGCTGCTGAGCGAGGAGGTGGCGGTCGGCGCCGTGGTGCGGTGGCTGCGGCGCGCGCCGGGACAGCGCCCGGCTGAGGTAACGCGCGGCGGCGCCGCCCCGCTCTTTGCGGCCCGGGCGGGTATCGCGTCCCGCCGCGGGCCGAGCGGGAAACTTCGCGCACGGGGGAGGCCCGCCTGAGGCCCGGGGGCGGCCGCCGGGGGGCCCGAGCTCCGCCGAGCGGGCGGCGGGAAGGCGGGACCGGGGCCGCGGGACCGCTACCGCCCGCCGGGCCCCGGGGCGAGGCGGAGGCGGAATGGCGGCGAACGTGGCCCGGAGCGCCGTGCCCCGTGGCCGCGTGCCGGCTGGGGAGGCGCGGTGACGCGGGGGGCTGCGCTTCCCGCCGCCTCGCTGGTGGGAGCGGGGCTGGTGCCGCGTCCCGCTGCGCGTCGGGAGCTGCTTGTGGCCCTGCGGTGTCTCCCGACCTGTTGCTGGTCTGAGCGTGGGGATCCGCTACATCCGAGCACACGGAGCTTTGTAACGCGCTGTGTGCCGAGAGTTGGTGTTCCCGTGGTTGTAGAAGCCTTTGTAACCGCAGGTTGACCAGGAGCGCTTACGCTGCAGTGGTAACGTGGAGAACAAGGTCTGTGCGTGAAGCATTTTCAGCTCGAGCTCCTCGGAACGCCTTTAATTAAGATCAGAGCTTACTGCTGTCACCCCAAACTTCTGTGGGAAGGAGGGAGCGGCGTTCCACGTGTCCTTAACCTGTGGGCTGCAGATGTGGGTCTGCGGGCGCCGTGCAATTCGAGGTGCTGACCGCTCAGAACTGGAGGCTGTGGGCTGGCTAGCGGGGGGTTCCGCCTTGCCGGGGGCTGTGGGTGGTGTGTGGGCTGAGGAGGCCAGTGGGAGGCAGGGAGCTGGCGGCCCGCCCTCATCCTACAGCACGGCCGTGAACCTCTGTTAACTTGCACAGTGAGAGAGGAGTAAAGGCATGCTGTGCTCAGAAAGGTTTGAGGAGCTGACTGGCCATGTGTGCAGACTGTAAGCTGTCTCTAAACGTGGATGGGCAACCGAGGAATGGTAGAGTACGTCTTGCTCTGGCTTTCGTGGGGCAGTTCTGCGCTGCTGGCACTGGTGGGTTTTGTGTGCTGGCCCTGGTCTGCCCAAGGCGTCAGCATGCTAAGTCCGCCCTGTACCAAGGCTGTGCCAGACTCAGGCTTCACTAGGGAGCTGCTGTGCTGTCATGCTTTCGAGGAAGAGTTTCAGCACTGGTATCGAGGATGGCAGGGCTGAGATCGTGGCCCTGCTCTCACTGCCTTCTTTTGTGAAAAGTATTTCCAGAACAGTGTTTGCTCTTCTTTCTTAGAGTGGAGATGTGAATAGAAATGAAACAGAATGTGCATGCAGTTATTTTCATGTCACTAAGGAGGAAGTTGCTGCCTGTGAGCGCTGCTTCTACTGTTGTTGAGATGGCACAGAGTACCATGGAGAGGAAACAGGAATGTGTGTGTTGTTCGGAACAAAAGACACTTTTCCTAGCGTACAAGGCTTTGAGCTGTGCATGGGATATGAGTTCTTTTTGTCTAGTGTTACCCTGAGAAGATCGCCACCTGTTTAAGTTTATAACATGTTGATTCTATGAGTAATTTTGTGTGTGTGTGTGTGTGTTTTTGGTTTTTTTTTTTAAGGTTTGTTACTTACAAATGTCATGCATGTTGAAGTTGTGCAGTCTCTGTTAGCTCTCTGGGGGGTCTCAAGCAAGAGGAAATATGTAATTGAAAGCATCTGATATTTGGCACCAAGGGACTCAAAATACTTAAACGCTTGTTCTCACAGCACCCCTCTGTGGATGTAGGTGGCATTTGTGGATAAGTAGGGAACGGAGAAGTTGTAGGCTTTTGCTTTTCATGTTAGAATTAGCTGCTTCAGTATCCATGCCCCACTTTGAAACATTGGACACAGAGATGCCAGTTGCTCCAGGCTCTTGCTGACCGCAGCTCCAGTAAGTGTCACTGCTGTTTCCAGGGGACAGCTCTGCTAGTTCCCAGCTGGAGGCCAAAGTGAGTGACTCCATTGGGAATCTCCTGCCAAAATGACTGTGTGGAGGCTGGCTTTCAGGCTTATGACTTGTGCTAAGGTCATTTGAATTGTATTGGCCTACTTTGGCATATCACGTTGTTTTTTATTGTGTATTGAAGTACTAAATGAGTCTAGACAAGTGAAAAGAAAGATTGAGGAAGCAACTTTATATTAATGCTTTGTCCTCTTTTGTAGGAGAATCACATCCATGACAAGCTGGTATCGTTCAGTTTGCTTCAGAAAGACTTTGTGCCTTTTCTGCTGAATTTTTTAAGGGAGCAGACCAGCCAGATACTGACTAATGGACCCTCCACTCCTGCTAAAACTCCCAATTCCAAGGCCCACAGGAGCCAAAGGACAGGACCAGAAAGGAGAGCAGGCCACGCGACTAGCAGCCGAGTGCAGCTCTTTTCCCAAAGGACTTCGGTGTCGGTGACCTCCTGCACCACAGACACCAGCTTTTCTCCCGCTGCTGCATCCAGCGGTTCCTCTTCCTGTTCTGGGTCGAACCTGTCGAGCCCTTGCAGTGACTTCCCCAGCGTGGTGTCCAGTAGCAGCCCGAGCTTTGGGTACAGCCCTGTGCTCACCCACAGTGAGAAGCGCTCAGCTCAGAAGGCCAGTCTGGGGAACTTCCTCGCTGCTGCACCAGAGGCCTTGCCGGCAAGGCGGGGCAGGAGGAAGGGCAGCAGCTCTGTCAGTGCCGCTGGCCGACAGGTTGTTCGGGACCTGGGGCGGTCCTTGGCCGAAGAGGAAGATGGAAAGAATGAAAGTGCATCATGGAGTGGAGGGAGAAGGAAGCGGAGTGAAGTGCCTCTTGTTGCTGCTAGATCCCCTCCTAGCCAGCTGAATCTTAACAACCTAGAGGAGTTCCCACCCATGGGTACTGCCTCTGGCTGGACAAAGTAAGAGTGTGCCTGCCTTGCTTTCTCATTTGGATTGTCCTGCAGGTTGCTGTTCCATTCTGTTGTGCACCTCTGAATGCTGTCACAAACAATACCCTGAGGCTGACTTCTTGTTTTCCTTGGCCAGAACAGCCTTGTAACTGCTGCTGCAGAGGGGAGTATTGCTGTCACAGGCAGTCAACTTCTGGCCCTGTGTGCTCACCTTGGTGCCCCTTCAGCCTCTCACTTGTGTTGTGCCTGCAGCTTGCTGGTGCACAGGCCAGCTGCCGTAAAGCTGAACACAACTTTGTCCTTCTGTGTTCTAACAAGTCAGCATTATCTTAGCTCTTCGTGTTTCTTATTTAACACAATAGCAATTGCTGATCAAGTGCAGCCCTGGAAGGCTCTTCAGCTTTACTGATGCAAGAAGAAAAGCTTTTGGGTTGATGTTTTGTGAATTCTGTTAATGAACATCGGTGTGCAGCTTCATTTGTCTCATGTGGTTATGTACAAATAGCTGGCTAATTCTCATATTCACTTTCGTCTTCACCAGGCCCTTCTCTCCCTGCTGACACTACCTTTGCTTTGGGGTAACTGTTTGTCTTGTGATTGCCTCACTACTTTGATTTTTTCACTCTTTAAAACTTTTATTAGGAAGTGTAATGTTTTCATGTCAGGCTGTTTACTCTGTAAGCCCGACACTGGCCTCTGAAGGGGTCACTTTCTAGTTGGACGATTACATTTCCAGCAGAAAATTGATAGTCTCTGTGTCTGCCTGGGAAATGCCTCTTAATGCATTACAGAGCCTCTTCCTGAAGGTCCAGTCTAGGTAGCTTATGTGGGAAGAATGGGTTCCCCTAAACTTTAAAGATAACACATTACTGGGATATAGTGGTAGCTTCTTTATTTCTGGTTGTGTTAGAAACTACTGGTGAATTGGTTTCATGCAAAAATAATTCATCTGTTGTCCTTCTAAACCATAGTTGTTTGGAGGAGCTGCTTGGCAGTCTTTGTCACTGTTCTGTGCACTGTTAATAATTACATGTGTCGGCAGCAAGGGGCAGCAGGCTGCTTTTTGCCATCCATAGATCCTTGAGTACTGACAGTATCTACAGAGAAAGTTTAGAAGTTCACAATGCTGGCTTGATATCTGTTTTATTTTAGTATTAGGTTCTTTTGGAAGAGTTTAATGCGTGTCAGTCTTGAGATTTAATTTCTTTTCTTGTTTTGGTGATTTCAACGAAATCCCTTCTCACTCTTTCAGCAAAAGCAAGCCCTCAAGGCGAATCAACCCAACTCCTGTGAGTGCTGAACGCCCTCTTTCAAAGCCAAAGATGTGCTTCACTTCAACGCCTGTCAGCCAGTCTCCAGCTGCTCGATTTTCAGCTGGGTCAAGCTCTGAGGCCTTTACCACTGTACAAGAGGGAAGCCCAACTTCTGTGATAAGCAGCAGCCTTCAAGAGGAGAGGGAGATGCTGAAGAAAGAACGGTACAGTCTGAACAGGGTGTTGAAGGGCTTGTATTGATTCTTAGTTCTCTTTACTGAAGATGGTATTGATAGGAGAGCGGAAATGACCAGAAGAGTATCTAAAACAGATGCTGATAAACTTTAATTTGTCTAAAGCCAAGTGTGACTGCTGTCAGATCAGTACATTAATGCACTTAGCTCATGCTTGTCATTTTAAAGGTGTACTAGCTCTGGATAGGCAACCCTCATTTTATCTTCAGGAATCTTTATTGCTTTCTTACCATTGCCTTTTCATGGGTTTGCACGTGTGGTTGTCTCCTGTCCAGCTTTTTGTAGGTTGTAGAGGTGAAATGTGTTGGTTTGAGTGCATGTAATTAGGCTGTATCTGAAGACTTCATCTGTCACAGAAGGTATTGTTGAGTTTGAAGAAAATGAATTAACAGTGCAGATGTGGGGAAAATATTAATGGAATTTAGGCAGACTAACACAGGCTTGTGGTCAGAGAAATGGGATATGGGTAGCAGGAAATTCAGTTTTAAGAAGTTTTAAAGTTGCTACCACAAATATCTGACTAAAATTGTGTGTGCTGGGAGATGAGGTGAATTCCAGCTCTAATTTTGTCCGCTACTCAGATAATGAGTAACTTTCCTCCATCTGTAAAGTGATATCACTGTTAGTCTGTGATGGTTGGTGCTCTGGAAGTAAAAAGCAAAGCATGGTAATATATAATTGCTGACACAACTGCTAGTGTTCTTTATAGCTTTTGTTCTTGGGGAAACTCCTTGGGACACGAGTAGAGTTCTTTGCTTGGCAGACTTGCAGTTGACTCCGGTGGGACCAGAATAGGCTGGAACAGACCCGCTAGGTTCTCACAAATTGCCTTTTGTACAGGGCCTGTACCAGAGCTGGTCAGGATTCAGACTTACCTTTGTGCTCTTTAGTGGAGCACATATTCCAGTCTGAATTCCACCTGCAGTGTTCCAGTAATTCGTATAAACTAAAGTAGGTGAAATAGCAGTACGTGGGCTGGATTGGACCCATGAGGTGATCTCATCTAAGCCATCGTGCTTTCAACAGAACGGTTAGTGCCTGGGGCTAGGAGCTGCTGCTGTGTCCTCGGTAGTGTGGGAAGTGAGCAGCAAAGGTAAGACAGTCTCCAGCCAACTGGGTTTCTTTTTTGAGCAGTGGCTCAAAGGGAGAAATTCATGCTGAGGTAGATGACAACACTGAGGTGGAAATGAAGCTGAGCGTAACTGTGTTTTTGGAGGCTTACTGTGGTAGGTTTAAGAAGTGCTTAGCATGAAATAGTTTTCTTTAGTTCTAATTTATCAAGTGCTTATGTTCATTGCAAGACAGATGTTACAAAATAACCTTTCTGCTTCCATTTTGGGACTGATTTGTTTTTCATTGCTGCAGTTTGAGGTTAGGCCAGCAAAAAAGTTCTTGGCTGTGATGATAAATGTTTGTGTCTTCCCCATAGCCTTTCAAGTTACTTTTAAAGATTTTACTCTTGAGACAATTTGGACATAAGTGGATGTAATGTTCATAGTGTGGATGTTTCATTGGGATGTTAAATGGTCATTTCATATTGCTGTTAGTGGCTTTTCTCTTGCTTCTTATGTGTCTTATGTATGCTCCTGCATTTTGGGTGACCTCAGGCTTTTTTAAGCAATACCTTTGTATTTAACTGAGTAATTGTTATTGATTCAGAATCCAGCAATTTAAGTAAGTAGTTTGTCTCTTCTGTTGCTCAACTTGTCGATATAGAATTTCATCAGTTGTTGCATTGCCTTTGCACGTACTCATATTGATTCTTCTCAGGGCATTATTTACTTGTAAATATAGCTGGGAGTCTGGAGATGAAACTTATTTTCACAGATTTTGCAGTGTCTAGTTGTCAGAAATTACATGGACAATATTATTTTTTTGAGGGCAGGTTCAATATTTTTAACAAATACCAATTTAGATGAAAAGAGACAACGTAAGCAGCCAGGCAGCATCATCAGAGTAGGAATTTGAATGTGTTTCTTTAGCAGTGCCATGCTAAAAGCTGGATTAGACAGTATAAATGATGTGGTTAGTTACTGCAGGACTTCCTTCATGCTGTGCTGAAAGGGAGAGGTCTCTCTTCTGGTCACATGGTTGCCGTGTGTCATTTAAGCCACACAGTATGTTGCTGCTCTTGAATTTCAGATGCAAGTTGCTGCACCAGACATCTTCTCCTGCAGGGATATCTCCTGATCCTGGGACTCCTACTAAGCCCACTTACACTCGCAGTGCTAGTCTTCCTTCTGAAAGCCATCTGGTGACCTGTGCAGATCCTGCAAAAGTTTCCTGCAAGAAACAGTTGGAGTGTCTGGCACAGCTCTACTCATCGTGTATAGCAGGTGAAGACTGGGATGTGAGACTGACCCTTCTGTGAGCTTTGAGCTCGTATGTGCACTGTGAAGGGAAGGCAGATAACAAGTAGAAATTCTGGTGTGGTTGCTGTGTATAAATAACTCCTAAAAGAATAAGAGATGCCAACTCAGTTATTAAAATAAATAGATTTTACATAAAAATTTCGGGAAGTAGATGAACGTGATGCAGTACTCTGACCTGTAGGAGGCTGCAGTTGCGTGGTGCTATTTGATGAGGTACACTTGAGCAACCAGACCCTTCCCTCACACATCTTTCTTTGTTGATATATGCTGTGGCTGTGTGTGGGGAGGGAGTTCTTTACAGACTTTGCCTTAGAACAGTTGTCTGTCTTTTTACCTTCGTTCATTAAAATGGATTGAAACACAATATTCATCTCTAGTATCACATTTCTTCTCTTCCAGAAAACCTGGTACCAAATATTTTCCTGGAGATTTTTTTTGTTCTGCAACTGTTGACATCTAAAGGAACTTCTGCTTCAGAGGAAGAAGAGAGTGACCTTGAAGTCAGTGAAGGAAGTAAAGGTAAGCAGTAGAATTGAGTGGAAAGAATGTCTTTCCTGTGAATGATGATAATGTGATATAGGTAAGTTGCCTGTAGCCTGAACAGTTAGTATCTAATGCCATAAAAAACACAGTGGAACTCATCTGAATGCTGACAAAAATCATGTGTGTGGGAGGTACTACTTCAACATGATAGATCAGGGTTGCTAGATCGTGTTTGAATCTACTTTTCTGCTGTTGTGTGTGAGTACCTACAGCATCTTGCTAAAACAAACTTTCAGAGAGTACAGATATGTTAGTCTCTCCTCTGTTGGTTCTTACAACTCGCAAGTGTTGTTGTTTGCCATGTGTTTCTTAAATTAAATGTTGGGTCACAGATGTGGGCACACAGGGGCTGTTAATGTAGATAAATAATTGTTACATTTGATTTTTTGGCAAATTCATTCTTACTCTTGATACAGTCAGTAGTTTGATATAAGTATGAAACAAAGAGTGGCTTTAAGATGAAAACTTCAGAAAATTTTATTTGTTTAACCTTTGTTTTACTTCTCAGTGTTTCTTAGGGCTGAGCTTCGGAACACAACGTGATCATCAGCAGCAGCTGATCAGTGCTTGCAGTTGGTCTGCTTGTTGTTTGGCTCTGCATACTGCTGGCCAAAAAGCTGAGGAGGAATATTTTCTTTCCCATACAGCATCAAACAATTTAGTTGCCGTTAGTATCAGAAAGATGGGGATTTATCAGGTGCCAGGGAACAGGAACTTCTGGAAATTGGTACCAATCTGGAAGATATTTAATTCTTTGGATATGGCAGTTCCTTCTTTCCTCCGGAGCGTATTTTTGATTGCTTAGCTTATAAATGTGATTGTTGTCACATGTTTCTTTTTTTCCCATTAGATGTATCAAGGAGACAGCACTTCCGAAGTGTGCACAATTGCGTTTATTTCGCTGTTCAGGTCTTGGATTATCAATATGAGTGAGTTGAGATGATTTTTTTTTTTTAATTTCCTCTGCTTATGTGTGAGATGAAGCAAGTGTGACTGGATCTTAGAGCTTTACTAATTCCAGATATAGAGATTAAATTTCGTTCAGAATACCCTTAAATTTGGATGGCTGTGAATTTTTCTTGCGCTGGCCTCTGTGTGCAAGAAACGGGAAGTCATGAGATGAATGCAGTAAGAAAAAATGTCCCTGCAGATGTCAGTGAGATTTGATCCAGGGTGACTCGGGCTTGGAACTCTTTACTTGGTAGCTTCTTAAGAATGACGTAAACATTTCTTTGGGTCTGATCATGTTGTTGTTTGTGTCTGTATGTCTGTGGGTTTTATGGATGTTGTCTTGGCAGAATTATTTCCCATTTAGAAAAGGGGACACTGAAGTTCTTGGCTGAAAATGAACGGATTGCAACTTTTTCTCCCACCCTGCATGAGAGGCTCAAGCAGGCATATGAAAGCAGCACTGCCAAGGTAAATATTGGCAGACCTCAACTGAATGCTCTCTTATACCTCTGTGGTGATGAAGTTTTATTTATGTTGGCCTTAGTGATAACTCTCGTTCCTTCTACTGTGAGTCTCTTTGTCATGTCTTCTTTGGGAAGTGTTTGAAAGTTGTTTTCTGTGTGGTTTTTTTTTTTTTTTCATTGAGTGAGTGAATTGCATAATCTCATGACTGTTAGTTCTGAATCACTGCTGGCTGCCTGATGTTGTGGACCTTAGCTAGTGGCTAAACAGAGCCAGGTTTTGCTTTTGAGATTTGTATCTAATCAACATTAAGCCCAGACAAATGGGATGCCAGCTAGTTGCAATATCATAATGTAGTTGGGGATAAGTGCTTCTTTGAGGCAAACGAAGCTTGCAGTCTGGAAACAATGAGTTTCCTGATCAGATCATCTGAGTCAGATGCTTGAAGCTTGATGCTAGGAATGCATTTATTTTCTATTTAGTTTCATGCATCCCATTGCATTTGCTAAAGAAAGTACAGCACGCTTCCTGACACTAGAGCACATCAATAACTGATCAGTTTAACTAAAGTTATAGATAAGGTTTTTTGTTACTTGAAGGCATAGACTTTTAAAATAGGAGACAGAATGCAGAAATTGTACAGAGGCTTCTGTCCTTCTGCACTCTCAGAAGCCTTGTGTTGAAGATACGCTTTGGCGGTTTGCAGGTCATTCTTTCCACACTGTATGAATACTAATTGCAATCTGTTGATTGCAGTAAAAAAAAGTTGCTTTCCTATAGAGATAAGAAGCTTGCATTCATAATGAGTGATTCTGCCTGTGGCGTAATGTAGATTTTTGCAGGCGTTGGTGTTTACCAGCAGTTAGCAACTGGGAAATGACTAGAGTCTGAACAACTCAATTCCTGTTTTCACTATCACCTCTCTCCACTCTTATTCTGGGTGTCAGGATTGTTGGATAAATTACACTTGCGTTTGCCTAATTGTTGCTTTTATGTTTTCAACAGGTGTCTCTGCTGCTGCCATGCTCTGTGCAATCTGTTTCTTTCCAGCCAGAAACTGACAATCGTTCTAACTTTCCCAGTGACAGAGCATTTCACATATTTAAGAAACAAAGGTAAGATTCTTTTACTGTTACTGTATGGCTCACAAGATATTATCTGCCCATAGTTGTGAACAAAAGATGTCAAGAATGTCCCATTTATGCTACATACTGTAGATTTTCACTCTAATTAGGAAAAGGAAAGCCTTTGTCCATCTTGACTGCAGGAGCTAAATGTTTAATGGCTTTAGAGAAGAATAGCCTAATTCTTCAGGAGTTTTTGAGGCTTCTGGTAAATGCCAGTACGTTGTGGCACCGTATATATAGATTGCTTCTGAATATATATCTGGTATGCTTTGTATTCTTCCTGCCACCTCCCTCCATGCTTGTAGCAACAGTGAGGGGAGAATGGCGAGTTGTCTTGGTCCTTTTTTTCTCCTCATAGGTATTATTTTGTGTGGCTTATTTTTTCCCGCTTCTCAGTCTTCAGTATGTCTGATAAATGGGTGCTTTGGTCATTCTGTCTGAGTTTGGGCAGAAGTATCAAAATGGGTAGATGCTTGAATTACTTAATTTAAGGTAGAGTCTCACTGGGTAGTTTAGAAGCAATTGAATGCTCAGTTGTTGCTACTTCAAATTTAGAAGAGTAGGAATTCCTTAAATATCTTGGTTCACAGGGATATCTTTTATGAACTGCTGCGTGAATGGGAGGATAACCATGAAAAACCTGGCTGGGACTTTGAAAGAGTTCTGGGCAGCAAGATCAGGTAGGAGTCTTCTGTAACCCCATCTAGAACTGAAATTTAGCTTTAGTGTAGCTAAATTACAGCCGCAATACCAGACTCAGCTCCTAATTTCTGTGTTCTTCCTAATGGTCTGAGCTGTAATGGGCTGTGCATCTTGGCAGGGAGCATCTGTGCAAAGTTGCTTCTATATTCCATATAAAATTTTCAACTATCCCCTTAAAGAAACAAGGTATAAGTGGTGGTGGCCTAATGTGATGAGTCTTGGTGTAACTCTTACCCTGTTCCCAGTCACAGAAAGAGTTACACTCACAGCCAGTATGTTGTGGTCTGAATGCATTTTTGTGCATAGTTCTTGTTTCTAGTGCCCCACTCCTTTTAAGCATGTATGTGTTATATGTACAGAAACTTTTCTCTCTTGTAAATGTTTCAGCAGGTTCTGGTGTCTTGGCTCTGAAAACAAGACTAGTTTGTCTCTTCATATGGAAAGCAAATGGTTTTATTTATTTACTGTGTAATCAAAATATAATGTGTATATATAAAGAAACCATTGTGTTTTTGAAAGCAGTTGCCTTGTGGGTTTCTGTGTTAATCTTAACCACCAGCCTACTGAAGTTATATGGAGCAAAACAAGGCTGAGGTTTAAACGAGGAATGTTCATTCCCTTTGGGCATCAGAACTACTGCTGTTTTCTTATTTGCATCTATGTGAGCTCTCAGCTCACTGCACAGGAAGAAATGGGAGATGAATGTATACTTTTTCTTCCTAAATAAAGGTATTATTGCAGGAAAAGAAGAGAGTCTTTTTGTCTCTAAAGCTGTTTGCTCTGCAGACACTAAGGAGGAATCCAGGGAGAATTTTTGTTTCCATGATCAGCAAAGAGGCTCCTTTTTTCAGTGGCCTTTGAAAACTGAAGATCGCTTTCTTAAAAGCTGTTAGTTTGATTTTGGTGTAATTTGAAGTTAAAATACTGTTTTTGTACCATGAAGATCTAGTCAGCATTTTGTGAGGTTTTCCTTCACAGGGCCATGATGGCTCACCTGTCTGCAACCTGCAACCACAGCCATTTTGCCAGGCTCTTTCAGAAGCAGCTCACCCAGGTAAGTTCCTCAGTTCTTTTTTTTTTTTTTTTTTTTCATGAAGATATGTGTCAGAAGTGATTTGATCCTTCCTCAGCCTGAGAAAACAAGCTGTCTTGCAAATTTGAGAGTTTTCTTTTGAAACTTTTTGTTTTTTGCGAGAACCCACTCTTCAGGAAGAGAATTTCCTGCATTTTCTGGAAATACAAATCAGTGATGAGTTACTGATCCTTATCCAATTGTAAGGCACAGTGAGCATGTCATGAGTTGTAAGAACTTATTCTTCATGTTATTTACCCTTGACATTCTAGTTTTAGAACAATTTATTTTTAGAAATAATTCATTTTGATGTGTATGAAATGAAGAGGTTCCCAGTTCCATTCCTTTGCAACATTATTATGCTATCTCTAGAGAGTCTCACATTCTTCTGTGTAGCAGCCAAATGGGCTCTTTTTGGTATAGTATTGCTGTTGTATTTGCAGGAGTTTTTTTTTGACCAGTAGCTGAAGGAATGAAAAAAGAAAGGATGCTCCTGACTAGAGTATTTATTCTTGTTGTATTCTCTCTCTAAGTGGCTGGCTTATTGGTAGGTTCTTTTTGGATAGCAGAGTAGGCACAAAAAAACCCCACTCACATTACATGAAAGATGTGAACTATTGAATTCCTCATGTCCAATCTGAGTTTGCATCAGTGATCTGTCAGCTGAAGACTGTGCAAGTGATGGAGGTTCCTCCACATGCAGATGTTGGCTGCTAGATGTGCCTGAGTTAGCTGTGTGTTTTCCATCTCTCAGAATCTCTAGGCTATTTATGGCCAAGGTGGGTAGTGTGTCTTGACATGAGGTAAAGAGATTTTTCTGTGTGCACTGGCTGAAAAGACCATGCTTGAATTCCTCCTAAAACAAAATCTCATGGAAAATGAGGAATGCACAGGGGAAGAGGTAAAATGAAACGATGTTTGATGAGTTTTCTGCTTTCTTGTTTTTTCTCTCTTATAAAGATGTGTAAAGATCCTATTGGTGGTGGTGCGAGCTGGGGAGACACCCCAGACCAGGATGTCCTTAATATGCTGGGTCCTGATAATCTGAGCCGTCTGAAGAGGTTGCAGGAAAGATTTGTTGTTCCTCAGAGCATCAGGGGACCTTGCCCACCCCCTTCATTCCCAGGGTGCCAGCAGTTCTTCAGGGACTTCATCCTCAGCGCAGGAAGGTCAGCTGGTTACTATTTCCACGGCAAAGCATGGGGTGTGTGGGGAAAATTGTGTTGCTGTTGCAGCAGGGGTGTTCAGAGGCCTTTTGGCATAGTGTAACCTAGGTTAAGTAGAGCATATCAGGATATTCTACAGCTGTGTATCACCACACTTAATGTCCTTGGCCAGTGAGCACATTAACAGACAGGTTCTGTTTGAGGCATGGAGTGCATTTCTGCACTATTTTAGGCTGGATGGTAATCACTGAACCATAACATCTTGTCACAGGCTACCTGCATTTCCCAGTGCTGAGAAGTGCAGACATGTATAGCAAAGGCACCAGCCTGTCCAAACATTTCTTGTGCAGTAGTGTGTGGAGCAAAGGACTTAGAGGATGGAAGCCAGTTTCTTGGTTTTCTTGAATAAGTTTTTCCCAGTCCAGAGCATAGATGAGTTGCCATATATGGCAGAGTTGAATGTAAGTTCATTTACTTCTTTACTTCCTGCGTAGACAGATCCATATTATTATCCTTTTGCTGGGACTTACTAAACAATATCTGCTTTGAAGAGCTTAAGAGTGGAAAAGGCAGTCAGCCAGCGCTAATTTTATCACTTGGTTCATTTTCTATCCATTGCTTTGTTTGTAATTTAATGCTTGATATAACTGGGAGATCGGCTTTAAATTTTGTGGTGTGTTAGTTGAGATTGTACTGCTATTTGCAGCCCAATCTGACTCATCATCATCTTTTGCTGAAGTTACCAGTTCAATCAGCACCTGGTGGATAGCCTGTGCTTGAAGATACTTGAGCTAGATGGCCTTACTCTGGTGGAGCATGAGCACAGTGATGGGGAAACAGATATGGATGAACAGGTAAGGCTGTATTCTGCACATGCATCTGGCTGGAGTTTTCCTGAACTGAACCTATACTGAAACTGTTAAGGTTTCACGTTGTTTTAAGTTTCTACCAGTGAATTTACGGGACAAGGGTTTCTTTCTTTTGTTATGTCATAACTCTGTAATTTGTACAGTGTCCAAGCCCTACACATTTACTTATGTGCTTCAGAATGTCTCATAGAACTGTCTTAAGAGATGAGATGTGCTAGTTTGAAAAGTAATCTCCTGTGGCGGAGCCTCTTTTTATATTGTTAGCACCTTGTGTTAGATCTATTTCATTATTGAGACAACTGAGTTTGGTTGTTGCATTCAATTCCCATAGCTCCTTTATTGTTGCTATTCCATGCAGAAAGCCTCAATGAATTTGTGGTCAAGCCTGTTCAGGTGTCCCTTTACTTACCTATACTTATCACAAGTATCATAGCTTTTAGACTTTTAGCAAAGTAGCAGCCAAAGATACATGAAATCTTGCAGAAGAGTAGTGGTGCAAAAGAGGCAACAAAGGGTCAGTTCTCATTGTCTCCAAAGTTGTTAATATGAATATATGACTGAGCAGCTTGTTCTAGAAACCTCTCAATATCTTCTCATGGTAAGTGACGCAGTAGAGGCAGAACCAATTTAAAATGTGTGACAAATATGCATTTTGGAAACATTTATGGAAAGCATTGATGAAGCTATGTGGCCCTTTTTATATGAAGGGAATAGAAGTTTATTGTGGGTAGTGGCTTTGCCAGCTCAGAGTGATATTGCCCAGCTTGTTTTTATTCATTGCAGGATGAAAAGAAGCGTTTCACTGTGGTACTGTTAAGCTTGAGACTCCTTGCCAAGTTCCTGGGCTTTCTTGTATTCTTGCCATATCGCACTGTGGAACAACCAACTAGAGACCTGCAAGACACTGCAGTAGCATTGAGGAACCAAGTAAGAAACCAAGCACTTCAATCTAATGTGGATATTGCTTGATAGACAGACTTCCTAATCCAGTAAGGGTATTATGAATAGTTATGCCTGTTCAAAGCAAGGGAGTGATTGCTGTGAAGGTGTTACGCTATTCTGTGCTCCATCACACATTCTGATGCTGGAAACAGAAGAAAAATTTATGTAACAGAAAAAGGGAGCAATGCACTGATGGTTGAGGTATGAGGTGCTGTGTTATTTTTGCTAATCTGGGGCTGATAGATTCTGAGGAGTCTAGGTAAAACTTGCCTTTATAGTGTAAAATCCAGCTACCAGGAATGATTTGGTAGTTTTTCACTCACCTCCTAGCAGTGTAATGAATGCAAGAAAGCAGGGGTTAAACCTTGACTCCACCTGTACCCAGTCATGCTTTTAGTGTTACAGCCTTGTATTTGAAAGTCCCAGCGAGACCTGTTTTTTTGCTGTCATAGCATAGCATAGACAAACCTCTTCTGGTGTGCAGAGAAATGTTTTCATTAGCCAAAAAAGTCACCTTTTATTTGTACAGAGGAAATCTTAGAAAGAATAGTAATGATATAGAAAAATATTTTTCTTTAATTATCAGAGATAACTTCAAGCCGCTGCTTTAACTTTTTTTGTTCATTAAGACTTTGCCTGTACTGGACATATTGAAGCTTCTGAGACGATCCATTCGGAATCAGCGTTCTGTCCTCACTATTCCTTGGATCGTGGAGTTTCTTTCCCTTGTGGATCATATTGCTCCTTTCCTTGATTACTATAGGAAGGTATTTTGTCTGTTGCTGCAGGTATACAGGTAAGAGCCTGGGAAAATATATCAGTTCAGAAAGCTGTTCTGTGCATGGTTTTGTTTAAGAATACATGCTGGTGCTAATTTGAATTTCTTATAAAGGTACTTTTTTGTGTGCAAATCATGAGCATTCATATCTTAGCACTACTAAGGGAGGATATCTTAAACAAAGAGATAGAGGTGCAATAAGTTCATGTTCATTGAGTAAACAGCATTCTTTAAATTTTAACTCACCCATTCTACATCTGTAGCTGCAAATTTTAAACCTGGAATTTAAGCCTCAGACCTGCAGGGTGAGCAGTGCCTAATTAATAGTTTTCTTTGTGTTGTACATGAGGAAAATTTGAAATACATTCTAGAGAGTTGCTTAACACTGGTTTCTCCAGTGTTAAAACAGCACGTTATTCAAATGTGTATGTGCAAAAGAGTAGAATTTGCCCTCCGTTCTGTAGGCAAACAAGTGTGGGATGTGTACATGATTACAAATAGTATGATCAGAAACTGAGTGGTTTGGAATGTTTTTCCTGAAAGTAAATTGCAGTAATGAAATCTAATGCTGCCTCTTGTTGCTTTTTATGCATGGCAGGCTAATGGTCCTTTCTGAAGACAAAGAGATGAGTTTCCTGAACAAACTGCTGATCCTTGCAGTTCTGGGTTGGCTTTTTCAGGTAGTCAATTACGTGCACACAGTTTTTCCCCAAAGAAAAGGCAGACCACAGGACCCAATAAATACTCAATACTGAAATGAATTAAAACACTTGAAATTACTAGGTTCTTTTTGTGCTACTTTGGGGTTCAAACAATCCTCTGTATTCTAATAGAGAGCTGTTGTCCTGTAGTCAAACTGTGTGAAGTAACTTTTTTTCCCAATATGAATTCTAATTGCTGCTGAAGCACACTTGTCCTTAAATCCACATCCTTGTAAGAACATTGGCAAATTCGTGTTAGAACTTGGAGCACAAAGGAGGGGTGCTAACTGGCATCCTTGAATGAATGGGGATGTTTTGTTGGATCAAAGGATGGTATGTGATAAACTTTTAAAATTCTTTTGTGTCTTCAGATGGAAGTAAGGTGATTTGGTAGCAGAAATTTGCAGGCAAGGTTAAAGATACCATAGGGGAGGGTAAGGAAGGTGGCATGCATAATAGTGATTAAATTAAATCTTTAATTTTATGGGGAAAAGTCTCCTTATGGCTGAGAGGATCCTTGTTATCTTTTTTTTTTTTTTTTAATGGTTAAAAAACTACTGTCTTCTTTCAGAAATGGTATAAGTTGACTGCTATTTCGGCTGTTCTGACTGGGGTTTCTGTTTCAGGTTCCATCAGTCCCTGAAGAATTGTTTTTTGCCACGGATGTCAGGCAGGAGGGATTGGTGATGGATACTGTGACATCTGCTCCGGCTTTGGTGAGTTAGTGCAGTAGCAGGCCCTCTGAATCTGTAGATGAGGGTGGACCTACTATGGCCTCAGGAGTTTAAGATTTTGTCAGGATCTTGGCTTCCGTGCAGCTGTATTGAGTGAGACTATCTAGGCCAGTGTCATTCTCTGGTTTGTCCAAGTTGCTAGTCTGCATCGCATTCTGGATTGTCAAATGTATGTGTTCAGAACACAGGGTTTTGTCAGGCAAAGGGCATCTCAGCTGTGATAATGGCTCACAGAATAGATGCCAAGTTATGTGGGAGGATCATATACTGTTCTCTGATTATCTCAGTACAAGGTGAGCTGATTAAATTGCAGCTCTTCCTTCAGGTAATTAATAGTAATTGTGAACTCAACGAAAATAGTACAATAGGTCTGTCAAAGCAAGATTACTATTTTTGGTGTCACCTGTTGACCAGCTGCATGATAAAGGGTGAGTAAACTAAAAATAATTTGAGCAAGCAAAGAGGCATGTGTGATGTTTTAGGTAACTCCCAGACATGCAGGAGAATAGATGGTATTCTGTGAAAAATCAGCAATATGTTTTTGAAAACATATGTAAGCCTTGTCCAAATTAGAAACCTCTGTTTTGCATCATCTCTTTAGTGGCAGAGATGAGATGCAGAGGTAACTGAATATTTTGCAAATGAGTACACTACATGGCTCCCTATGCCCATGGAATCAGAATTGCTTTTCCTCCAGTGCCTTTGCCTGTAACTGTCATACTGGGGGGGGTGTTATCCATAATGTATTGTTCTAGCAAGTCTGGGTGAAAACACCTGTGGAGACTTAATGTGCAGCAGGTGTTCCTCGTTTATTCTCCTCTATGGTTAGGCTCCTGTTTTACAAATAGCAGCTGTGGCAACAGTCCTGGTTTTCTAACAATCAAAATTCAGTTGGGCTTTGACAGTGATCAGAAGAAAAGGTTGAGATACACTTGGACTGCAAAGTCCATAATTTGACAGTGAATGTGGAGTCTAGTTGTTTCTGTTGTTTTCACAGAATGGCAGTTTTGAAACCTGCACGTGACCACGCGTATAAGATTTCTTTCTTGCTGTGTTGCTTCAGCTTTTCTTTTCTTCTCTCACCAGGACTCTGTGCCCTTGGTGGATCAGCAGTTACTTTATACCTGCTGCCCCTATCTTGGTCAGTACTTTTTTTTTTTTTTTTGTCCTCTTTCTTTAGTCCTGTGAGTCCTTGGATTGTCTTTTTACCTCTCCTCACAGCTTTGGGTCTCAGCTGTGTGTAAGTGAACCTTGATTAAAAATCTGTATTGGAAACACCTGCAACTGAGCATAGTTATTTGATGACTATAGGGGAGGGAGGCTATACAGTTAGGGCAGTTGTACAGAGCTTGAAAGCAGAGGAAAAGGAGAGCTCGTCCTTTACAAACTGGAAAGAAACATAGTAATGAGTAAGTATACAACTTTTGCATCCTAGGTATAGGCATTTGTACTGTGAGAAGTATCTTGAACTATGGGTGTGTTTCTGTTATTAGGCAGGGGGGAAGAATCCTCTTAAGCCCTACTGGTTTATCGGGTTGTTGTCTCAGACATCTTTTTCTTGGAATGATTGATGAAGCCTTTATGTGTAGAGAACAGAATGCCAGATGGTGGGATGGTTCTCTGCTTATTGGGTCTTGGCTGCTAGAAAAACTGTGCGATAACCCTGGTGTTCCTGCATCGTGAAAGCTAGAGGTTGAAGAGCTCTTTGAGCTTTTCCCCTGTGGTTTTCTTCTGATTCTGTTGAATTTTTTTTTGTACTCTTTCTTGTCTTGTTGTCCTTGTAGATTTTGTTATGGTTTATGCTTACTGTGCTAAAAAGGGTTTCATAGAAGTGGCTTCTTCTGATCCTTCTGAACAAGTCTGTACATGCCAGGGAACTTTCTGGGATCCTGTTTTAGCTTTAGAGCCTGCTTTATTCTGCCCTGCTAGTTAGATAGGTGGAATGCTTCTGTTTCTGCTCTTCTGAAACTTCAGCTTTCACAGAAGCTGGAAGAATTTGCTCAGGAAACAGGACTGACAGTGTGAATTTCTCTCTCTGAGTTTTTGGTTTGTTCCTTTGCTTATGGGATGATGACCACTTTTGCATGTCTCTCTGTACAGGAGAGCTGCGGAAACTACTTGCCTCTTTTGTGGCTGGTAGTGGAGTAAAAAATGGTGGCTTTATAAGGAAAATCACTCCAACAGCTGCAGAGTCCTTGGCACCAAAGACTTCCATTACACAACGGAAACTGCAGGTAATTTGGAAGTCACAAGTGAAAGCAGAGTAGGAGGAATTCCCTGCATGGTAGTAGGATACACAGCGGTATCCCAATGGTAGGGAAAGAAAAGTATGGACCTAGATAGCAAGGGATGTTGTTTTTGAGAGTCAGGTATCTTTAGTCTTTGTTATTCTGGTTAAATCACATGGCTGGGAAACCATGTGGATGTTGAAATCTAGAGAAGTTTAGTAAGCATTCTTAGAACAACTCTCTCTTCTTTAGCATAAAATGTCAGCACATCTTTCATCAACTGCTTTTAGTTAGGTTGTAGCCATGCTTTCTGTAGAGTGTAGGAGCATGCAGAATTAATTACCAGGCATTTAGGAGAGGATTCTTTGTTTCCAAAAACAAGCCCTTTGCGGTGACTTACCATTAGCAGCTGCTGTCAGAGCTTTCCCATTCTTCTCTTTACTGATCATTTGCTTTTGTAGCTTCATAAACACTGATCATGAACTTTGAGTTAAGTGCTTAGGAGGAAATGAGGAATGGATAGTTTACAGAGGCACCAGATATTGCTGGAGCAGAATACTCAAGTGTAGGCAAATTACATGCCTTGTAGCACAATTATGCATGGTAGTTCTGTCTGCTCCTGTGATGAGGAGAGGAGGAATGTGGGTGGAGTGCTCTAATCAATTGTAGTGCTTTTCTTTTGAACAGGTAGAGCTGGAACAGGCCTTCTTCCACAACCAGCCTCCCTCTCTGCGGAGAACAGTTGAGTTTGTGGCAGAGAGAGTGGGATCAAACTGTGTTAAGCACATCAAGTAAGTGCTGGTAATCTGTTCTGCGATATAAGAAGTAACATAGTACTCATGAGGCAAAGAGATGATCCTTTAAAGTTGTGTGTGCAGAGGAGAAGGAATGGGGGAAAGAAAACTTCTCTCAGAGTATGCCGTACAGCTGAACACCAAGGCTGTATTGGGTTATGATGTTATGTCCAGTGACATCAGATTTCCTTCACAGGGGAGGGGGAAGGGGATTTGTGATGGGATGTAAAGAGGAGGATTGCATGACATTCCAAGTGGAGCATGGAGTAGCATTTTGAGATTTAATATCTGTTTCATAGCATTCTTGCTAATTATAGAAACACGTAGGTTGGAAGGAACTGGAAGTTGGGTGTCATCTTGTCCAAATTCACACTCAAAGCAGGGCCACTTACAGTGTTAGGACAGGTTGCTTGTCCAATTGAGGTGTGAAAGCCTCCAGGGCGGAGATTCTGTAGCCTCTTTGCATTTTGTTTTTTTTTGCATGATTTTACCAGTATTTGTGAAAAATGTTTTCTTATTTTGTATCAGAATTTCCCTTGTTGCAACTTGTGTATCTTGTCTTTAATACTTTTGCTGTACGTTTCCTGGAAGCCTCATTCTGTGTTCTCTATGACCCTTTCCTCCCATTTCACCTTCTCTAAGCTAAATGAGTCAGGCTCCCCCAGTCTTTTCTTGTAGGTCGTGTGCTCCAGCATCCCAGCTGTGTTAGTGCAGCATTACAGAGGTGAGGGGAACAGTAGCTTCCTCTTGACTTGTTTGACTGCACTCTTGGTAACCTGAGGCCAGTGTGGTACAGCCTGTCTGCTGGGAACGCTAGATCCTTTTCTGGAGCGTTGTCCCTAACTGATAGACCTTGGACCTTACACGTAGTACAGAATCACTACCCCACTGTCAAACTACTTCTTCACCTTGTTGGGGTCCTTCTGAGAGGCAGCCCTGGCTCTTCATAAACTTGCTGACCATTTACTCTATCCACTTGTCCAACTTAAAGACATTAAGCAGTATCAATCTGTGAGGAGCACTGGTTGTACTGTGCTGCTGGTGACATCTCTGCATTTCTCACCACAACTCACTGAGATTGTAAAAGTATTGATGCAGGAAAGTTAGCTTGTAACCATTCATTTCTGTTAAAACTCGAACTTTTGACTCTGGAGTGCTAATACTATTCTGATATCTCTACTTGTTACTTTTTTCCTTACCTTCTTGGTATTAAAAAAAAATAAAACCAACCAAACAAAAACAAACAAAAAAAAACAACAAAGAGATGGTGTGATTAATACTGTTTTATTAGAGTAGCTAGTTGCATTTCTGCCTGAGAGAAGTATCCTGAAATGAGGGAAATAGCTGATTACAGTTAGCATGCATTGTTCCTTTTATTGATTTCAGTATGTCTGAATTTTTATATTATGTTTTCACAGGGCAACGCTGGTAGCAGAGCTGGTTCAAAGGGCTGAAGTCATGTTGCAGGATAAAGTGAAGGAGGAGGATGCTAATCATGATAAGCTGCTTGAAGAGGTGTGCGCTCATCTGTATGTTGAAGGAGCCCAGGCACTTATCAAAGGCAGAGAGTAAGGAGGAGAAGTTATTTAAACCCATGCCTTCCCTTCTCTTCTTATTGTGAAATCTGTAATTCTAATCTGGCTCGGCCTGTCTTGCTCAGGTTCTGGTAATTATAGACCCTGACCTCTGCTCTTCTTAGGCTGACTGTCTGCTGTGCTCCAGCCAGTTAATGCCATATTTGTAGGAAGGAATAAAGGTGCTGTTTGTCCCTCTGCATCCAGCTCCGAACTGGCATTTACTGCAGTTGTTGTACTTCCCTTCTTTGGAAAACTTAGTATTGCAGCTTGGGGGCTTGTAATTCTTTCCTTTCTGGTTCTGTTGGCTTGGCTTATTTCTCTGCAGTTTTCCAGCTAATTTTGCCCCTGAAGGAGGGCATGTGAAAATTCCTGCAGTAATGAACATCTGACTGTTGTCCAAGAACTTTCTGTAATACAGAGACATGTTATTTTCTTGCAGATTTTGCAAAAAGAAAGGTCCTGAGGCGGTAAGGGTCTTATTGCCAGAAGAAACATCTGCAGCAGTACGTATTTTCACAAAGACTCCTTATAGGCCTTGTCTCTGAGTCTGTATTATCTTTTTTTTCCTTGCTGCCTCTCTTACCCCTTAATAGCTTAGGACAGTGGAATTTACTGATGTGCTGATGTAGAACCTGATAGCTAAAGAGAGTCACCTCTGTCAGGCTGTGCCTGGATATCACACCAAAGTGATACTCTAGCCAATAGCTAACTGCTGTGATTAGAGTGGTAGGTAAATTACATATATCTTGCAAGGATAGCACTTCTGATTTTAAAATCAACTTCACGAATAATTGATAATTTTTGTATGGGGTCAATGGGGTTTGTTCTGTTGTTCAGAGTTAATGGTTTGTCTAGAAATGGTGATGTTCTATTTAAATGTTGCTTGTCCATATTAAGCTGTATCTCTCTGGAGTTTTTTTTTTTATTTTTCACTGACTGTTAGTGTTGTGGTAGTAAGCCTCCTATCACCTCCTCCCTGCGAAGGTTTTGAGTAGTGCAGAAGACATTGCAGTGGAGCTGGCTACTGAGAAGGCCTGTGGCTGGCTTTCTGCTAACATTGCAGGTGAGCTTCCTCACTCTGAACTTCTAACATGTATGTTATACTCTTTTTCTGAGATCAAGGGGTTGAAGTTTATTCTGGTACTATGAAGTACTTAGGTGTAAAAGCGGAGGCAGGCAGGAAGTGTGCTCTCTTTTCCTTTAGTGGGAAGCATGCAGTTGCTCTGTCTCTCCTTTAGTAATAAAGGGAGTGATTTCTAGTTCCACAAATCTTCTTCAGAGACTTCTCAGTCTTGGCCCTTGTGAGTGATTTGTAGTTATGGAAGCTGTTAGGATGGTAAGAATGAATGCTTCTGAAAATGTCATTCAGGCTGAGTTTGTCATAGCATTTCAAATGTAGGATACAGACAGCTGTCAAGCCACCTTATGGGTCCGTATGTGTAGAGAACTTCTGTACAACAAACACATCTTCAACTGTGTATGTTTTCAGCATGCTGAAGGCAGCTATAGTCCTTTTAATCTGTAATAGTGCTCTGGCAGCTCTTCAGAGTCTCTCAAAATCTACTTTCAGGAGATGCTGCCAAGAATTTGGGGAAGACTATCCAGCACCATTTGCAGCAGCAGGAGATTAGTGTTTTGGATGCTGGTCAAAATTTATTTTGGTTCAAAACATACATCTTTTGTGGGCACAGTGGTTGAACTGGTATGGTCATGCTGATTCAGCTTTCTTCTTTGGTAATGTTTCCTGGCTCAGCTACTTTGTTATTACAGCTACTGAAACACTTTTGATGGAAAATGAAATGGGTCCCCAGTGGTATCTGGTAGTAGTGAGCAGCTCCTCACTGGCCATTAATATAGTGGGAGCTCAGAGTCAGGAGGGTATGAAAGTGTGAAGTCCTTTCCTCAGTCGCAGCGGCTCTCAGAATGGGAGGCAGATACGGGTAGCATTTGGAAACAGGTTGTCTGCCTCCCTGGAGAGAAAAGTGGAAGTAGATGGATTATATTTCTTTTTTTTTTCTTTTTTTCCTTTGTAGCATTGATTAAAAGAGAAGTGAAGGCAACATTCAACAGAATGCTGAAAGTCCCAGGACTTCCCTTGCCCAATGAGGATGCTGTGGAGTTGAGAAGGGACTGCTCTCCGGGCTGTCTGCACCGGGCACCATTTCCCTCTCAAATAATCAATGAGATTAAGGTACGCGCTTCCTGGCTTGCTGTCTTTCCCTTATTCCCTTTTTATTTTTCACCTCTGTTTGAAAAGCACTCCTTTGTCATAGGGCCAAAGATCTGTTCATGGGAAGTGCGGAATATTAGCAGCTCAATCACTGTTGTCTTTTTCATCAAGGATGTGCTCTGCATTGCTGTGGGCCCACGGGACGAAGGGGAAGTGATTGATCCTGGCTGGCTGGAGTGCTTGCTGGGTAGACTGAGTCAGACGCTTCGGTGCAGAAAGGTAAAAGTTAAAAAGCAGCAAAAGTGGTAACAATGAAAACATTGGGCTACTTTTGAGCCATCTTCGTGCCTGTTTGCCTTGTCTCACAGTTGAGTTCAGGCAGAGAACATTAAACTCAATTCAAGTTTGCAAAGTTGAAACAGCTGCATTGCATTTGTTAGTCTCCGGATGTGCTTGTTAGTTATAACTTGCCTTTGTGGACTTCTTTGTCCTTCGGGATCTTGTCTTTCAGTCTTTGGTCTCCTGATTGCAGCTCTGTGCTTCCTGCTGTAAACTGCCTGCTATTCTCTGATGCTTTTATCCCCTGATATTTTTATCCCTTGTGAAGTCCTGTTTTGTCCAGTTTGCAGTGTGGGGACAAAGATGGAACTCTTTCTGTGTTTTCCAGTTCATGTGTCCCACATCAGAACAACAGCTGGCCAAGTGCACGGTTGAGTTGGCTTCTTTGCTGGGTAAGTCAGTCATGAAAAGCTGTTTAAGGTTAAAATGTGTTGTTAACGTTCTCTTGAATCCTTGGTTTCAGAGACTTTCCTATTTAGAGCTTGTGATCTTTGGTTGTCTTGGTGCCACTGAGTCTGTTGGCTTTTTTTTTTTGGTCAAATTTGGATGGTTGTTCTTATTTCCTTACACCTTCTGTGGAGGTTACTAACTGTCCTTCATATCTGGTGTTCTTATTCACATCTTCATTGGTTTTCCTTTATTGAGATCTTTATTTAAATGTGCTATATTTTTCAGTTTTTCTTCTCCTAAAAATGTTGTTCTTTTTTTTTTCCCACCTAAAAGTGAAAGCCTTATTTCCTTCAATAATGTTTTTGTGGCTCTTTTTTTTTTTTTAAATTTTTCCCCCTGTTGCTCTAATCTGTTAAGCACAGTGCTTTTCTCAGTGTGAGCTTGCTGTCTGTATGCAGATGTTTTCTTCTTGGGCACCCCGTTTTTAGAAACTTCTTAAGGAGTTTTTACACAGTTCACTTCTCAGTCCATGTCTGAATATATCAAAATGTCATTTTGGGGGATAGCAATGCAAATCTGCCCATTTCCATTGGACTGTACCTAGGAAGACCTGATACTGTTCTCTCTGTGTATGTTTAGCTGCAGTTAAATACTGTAGGACTTTACTTTCACTTGTGTAAACTCTGCCTATAGTCAAAGCTATGTACAACTGTTTAATCTTTCCTAGATTTAAATGGTGTTTTCCTCTGTTACTCATTTCTTTTGGAATAGTGCCTAGTTCCTATTTTATTAAATATGAGGCTGACTGAACGGATACTGAAACAATCACCTTTCAAGATTTGGTACTATATGCCAAAACTTCTTTATCTCAGAGAAATATAAATATATTCCCATATAATGTCTCTTAGTATAATTTCAGAGCACACTTTCGCATGTTTCAGACTCTACTCCCTTATGTTCAGTGGTTTACGCTCAAGAGGTGTTTTTACTTTAGTGATTGCTTAGTTATCAGCTATGCAAAATCTGCTATTGGACTGGGCTGATGGCTGTAGAAAGAAAACATGCAGGTGCAGAAGTTCATCTTCCTTCTGTTTCTTACAGTTTCAGGTCGTGTTCCTCTTAGTCTTGGGATCAAGCCTCCAGAGGAGAGCTCCGAGAGGCTCCGAATGAAGAATAATCCCATATATGACCTTCTGAAACTGCTGCTTTCTGTCTGGAAGGAGGACTTTGGGACACCTGTTCCTGTGCAGCTGATGTTCAGCAGGAAGAACATTGGCTATCTTGCAGAAGTGAAGCAGCAAGAGGTAGGGTTTTATTCATCTCTGAGGAGCTGCAAGTTACCTGCTCTAGTCTGACACACACGTATAGAAGTTATCTCACTTGCAGTGTGAACTGATTGCTTGTGGGAGCAAGGCTGGCAGCATCAGGCTTCATTCACAGGGGTAGAGAAAAAGAGGGCTGCACAGTTGTCAGTCTCCAGTATTTGCCTTGGGGACTGTTGGGAAGGCACAGCTTAATTTGGGAGCAAGTGATGAAATGGCCACTTGGATCTAAGTGATTATTAGGACTGAACACACATGACTGTGCGATTGGTCACCTCTGTGTCTTCTTTCACCTTTCATTTTTGTATACACGTGGTGTTACCTTACAAGATCCCCAGCTAGCAAGCTGAAAATTGCCTTGCCTAGTTGCAGGCTGAGACCAGCTTGATTGGGAAGGATATGAATGTTTTTCAAGCTGTTTAGAACGCACAGGAATTAAATACTCAATGTGTTTTGGAACTGAGAACTAGAGATTTGTAGTTTAGTTTTGAAAATGTTATGGTAGAATACAATGTATGAACTAGAGAAATTTTGCTTATTCATTTTGGATGTTGCTCTTTGTTTTATCCTTTTGCTCGTTTTCTCCATGTTCTGATCCAGGAAGGCAACTCATGAACTGTATTGAGATAAGGAAGCAAACACATTTTTGAGATGTTGATATCTTCTTTTTTTTTTCTCTGCAGTGGGATTTGTTCCATTTCATCCTTCATGGTCTTGTAGAATGTGATCTAATGAGAACCAGTGAAATAGAGAGTTGCTTGCGTAGCCTTGAAGAGCTCCCTTGGCCCTCAGTAAGTAATTAAGTGTTTGTGTGAGTAAGAAGCAAAGCAAAAAGTAAAGCTACAGAGTGGTAAATCCTTGTAGTTCAATTTCCTGTAGAGGCAGTTGTTAACAGTGTCCTGTCTGAATTTCCTGCTTAATACAGCAAGGGGATTGTTTAACAATAACTTGTTACTGTAACTAGTGCTTTGGTTGAAATCTGCACCTGACTGAATCCAGAATATACCATGCAGTGGAATCATTGCTGAGAAAGCTGTAACCCAAGTTGGAGATCAGCTCAGTTACCATCTTTTACTTCATCCTGTATACATTTGCAGTACCCTGGCTGAGAGTGACCTATGGGAAGGGGCCTAGCTGACCGCTCACCTTCAGGCCTCTTTGCCTCCCACATCCGGAATGGGAGAGAAGCCAGAGTATTCTAGAGAGGGGGTACAAAATACAGGGAAGGGCCTGAGACCTGTGCTGCAAAGTAGCTCTTATTTCATATGTGGTGATGCTTGCATGTTGGAGATTGATACTTGTTAATAAAGGTTCTCAGGTTTGTATCTGTCTGTTGTAGGATTTCTTAAAAGCTCTGGACAGCATTTCCAGTTTATTTCTGTCGGAACATCTCATAGAAGAGCCCAGGAGTAACCCCTGTGACCTGACCAGACAATCTCTAGGTACCGTGACAGCACAAAGTTAGTGGAGATGGACTCTTTGAGGATAGAAATTACTAATGAAGATGCAGATGGAATTTTTAGTGTTTCTGAATGCACTGTGAGGTCCTTGCTGGGAAAATACTGCATATAGGAGGTCTCTGTGTGCAAAACCAGCACTGGTCTTTCTGTTTATGGATGTGTTGCACTGGTGACTGCTGAAGGATTCATATCAGCAAATAGATCGCCAAGTCAGAAGTTCTTTAAGCACCTTGATCATTGCTCAGAGCAGCTGTTTTTTAGACTCATTGACACTTTTGTATTTGTACAATAACAGACTGTGGTCAAACCAGGAATCGAGTGGACAAGTCCCTCTGTGAAGCAGGGGTATTGCTTCCTGGTGACTGGCTCATCTCTGAACTTAATGTGGTTTCTTGCCAGGGGAGGGAAAAGGTAACCTGTTCTACAAGAAGATGAGCCTGTATTTATTTTTCACTGTGAGCTCAATTTCAAAGATTTGATTTTAATGTTTTTAGGGCTCATTTTAGAAGTTAAAACATATTAAATATATATGCACCAGAACATGTGTAACATTATTCTTAAAGGATCTAGATGATTAAGTTAAGTTTTCTTCCACCTCTTGATGGAAACGGAACTTGTTATTTCTTGGAATTTTTAATTGAAATAAGGGAGAAAATACTTGATTATATTTTTCACTGAAGGCAGTTGGCAGTATTTTTATGACTCTTTTTATAGTATGTGAACATAAATGGTATGTAGCTGCTATTTCTTGTTTTTTATAATCCTCCTTGCCTTGAGTTTGAATTTTATCAGACAGGAAATACTCCAGCGAGTGAACTACAGACTGGATAAACAGACAAGAAATTTAGTGGGGAAAAAAGCAGTGTCACCTTCTGGAGAGCTGGTATGAAAGGAATCCTTTTTGTGCGGGGCAGTGGGCACTTCTTGCTCTGGTGGATAGATCATTAAGCCAGGGTGCAAGTTCCCTTTCACCCACCAGGCATCTCCTTCAGCAGGAGTTTGTGTTCGGGAATGCTGGGAGTTAGCAGAAAATTACCTGCTTGTTAGATGTCTCAGGACAGTTTTTCAGAGGATTTTTTTTCCTTTTGTCTAGGAGTCTGCCATTAGTACCGGTTTGTCAGAAAGCAAATATTGTGTTAAGACCAATGTTTGGACAAAATGAAGCTGGTTATCTTGCTGATTAAGTTACCTCTTCCTTGTATAAGGTGGAAAAAAGTAGCATTCTCGGCTGGGCTGGAGGGGAAAAACACAACCAGGACTAACTAGGTAGAACTGTGGCATCTGTTGAAATGTGTGATACAGAGAGGAATGTCAGCATCTGAACTCCTTTGAGGTTGACTGGGCATACACCATCTGCGTGCCTTTTTTTTTATTATTTATTTTCTTTCTGGGATTTTAAGACATGACTGAGTCAGAGGTTCCCTAAAAAGTAGGTGTGCTGTGTGTCTGGTAAAAGCAGGGTAATGCGAATTGAGATAGCGAGTACAGTCTATTGTTTCATACCTACTCCCTGAGGCTGAGCATTATGTGATGTTTTGCTGCAGAGCTCACTTGAAGTTGTTGTTTGTAATAATAAATATGATTAAATGTCCTGTTTTGCGTCCAAGCTGGTGATATATAGCCTCTTTGTACTGGGACAAAGTACAAAAAGGCGCCTTGCCCACAAAGCATGGTGCAGAAAACATGTGGTAATGTCTGTCCTGCGTGCTGCTGATTTGCTTGTACTGCAGAACCTCTTCTATTTTATTACTTGACTGTGAGAGATGGAGGGAGAAGCTAGAGTGATAAAAAAAAAAAAAAAAGGCGCTCAGTCTCTGGAACTGAATTTATTTGGATATCTAAAACTGTTTGCATAGATAATGCAGCCACAGGTGTTTTCATGAACTCAACCTATCTCAGTTATCCTTCTGTAATATGATACGCTTGGAGGTGTTTATTTAAAAGGTGATCAAACCTGAAGATCAGTTTACTACTGCCAGAGAATGTAATTGTGTCCCATTGGGCAGAAGTCAGTCTGTTCTTCAGTGTTGTCCAGCAGGTAAGAAACACCTCTGTTTCTGTTTTCTTACATTGTCATGTCATTAATCTACATAGTTAATGGGTATCTCACATTACTTATGCTTGGTGGCTTTGGGGAAGCTAGGCACCTGACTCTGCAGCCAATCTTTGCAAAGAAGCATACAGCACTCTGGGCAGGTAGGAGACCTATGAGACCTACGTCTTCTATCACAAGCTAACCTCTTTGGCTTCATCCAGGTAAGTGTTCGCTGAGTAGAACAATACCTCCTCCTGTGTAAGTACAGTTCCAGACAGCTATATTAACAGCAAATACCACAGGGCATTTTTTTTTCTTGTGTAGAAAATACATTTTATTGTGGATATGAAAATAGCAATCTTGATTAAGAGCAGAGATGCAACAGCAGGTGGTACAGATGCTCAGTCTGATCATCTACTGCTCAGCAGTAATTGACAGGAAGCTGGGTTTTTCCCATTGTAGTTTAACAAAGTAGATGATGTCTGCTAGGTTTTATTTCTTCCTTCCCAACAAACCATTGCCATACATTAACAGGTACTAAAAATGTTATATTTGCAAAAGAAAACATCCATATAAATAGGCTTTTTAGTATCAATTGACAGTCGTATTAAAAAAAAAAGTTACATTAATACCGATAAAAATAAAAATTAGCTTTGATAGCATATAAAAATGCTTCAAAACAAGCATATATAAATAACTTAATTTGTAAACATAGAAAAACCAATCTTATGTATATATAAAAATAAACATCTGATGCACTGTACAATAAGACATTATCCTTCATAGGCACTGGTTTCATTGACACAGGAGTCCCCCTAGATGTTTTTCCTACAAAAACTGCTTTAACTCTAGTGCCGTCTCCAAAATAAAAGGGAAAAAAAGCGAAGCACTGAGCAAATCTTCTGTGGACTGTCTGAAGGCCACTCTTCTCCTCCTGCAATCCCTTCTGGAAGCAGCACTGGTGACAGCCAATAAATACACCTTGCTGCAGTTTCTGCTCACTTTTTCTAGGGCTTTAATGTATTACCTTGTTCAAGCTTCTTTGCTTTGCCGCCCCCAGAAAGGTACGACAGGCTGCAAATCTGGACATCTGCCTTTTGGTGCAGTTGCTGAGGCTGTGGAAGTTGTGCAGTGCTGCAGGTGAAGCATCCCCTGATGCAGCTTGGCAGGCTGCTAAGAAAGGCTGAGCCTCACCCCAGGAGAACGGTAATACACTGAGGGTAACCTACAGTGGCCACCTTGAGTAAACACAAAGCAAATTTATAAGAAATGATGTGTTTTATTACTCTTCCTGCTGTAGCTGGGCAGGGAGGAGCCTTGGGCTGATATGCCTCAAAACTGCTATTTTCTTAAATATCAATTTAAAATAGCCACTGTCACTTCATTTAAAACTTCTTAAAATATTAATGATAGGAAGTAACATTGAAGCTGAGAGCCAAAATTACATCTGTGCAAAGATAGAGTTAAAAATAGATTTTGGCTCTTGAAGCTATGGTGGGAGGTATAGTGAGCTTGTGGTATGCTGGGAACACATCTCTGACCCAAAGTACCTATCCGTGTTCCAGTAGCAGAGATGACTCTGGTAAGGCGGGTGCTTGAATAAATGTTTCTCAGTTGGCAAATGTAAAGTGCAACAGCCATATGAAACAATGTGGGCTTCTGTGAGCTAAGGAAACAATATTATAGCAGCCTTTATTGCTTAGAGAAGCTAGTTTAGGTAATTTCTGTACTATTGTGCTGAAGACCTACATGAAGTTACTCAGATACTTGAGTTGGTTGTGTTCAATTTTAGGAACCTGTAACCAAACACTTGAAGCCTGACAACACAAGCATTGGACAGAGCTCAACAGCTGCAAGGTAACTGAGTGGGGAGACACTGTGCTTACTGCTGTGGAGGCAGCTGTTTGTGTTGTGAACAAAGAAATGATGATGAGAACAGGGACCAGGCTGGATTTTTCTTAATGCTTCTAGGTAAAAGTAGAGACAGGCTGATGAAAAAAGCCATTGTGGAAAAGCGCTGGAGCTACTCTTAAGAGCGGGATTCACATTCTAGGAACATGCTGACTACTCTGTACTACTTCCTATTAATGAGTTATTGTTTAGAACTGTCAGTTTGGTTTCTCTATTTCAAAGCACCTAATTTTGTAGTGCAGTAAAACTGTGTCCTGAGGTGTGGTTTCCACTGTTGCTGCATAGTGTAGTGGTAATCGGAAATCCCTTGTACTGTACTGGCTGTAAGCAGTCAGCCAACTATGAGAAAAGTCTAGCAGCTGAGATGACTTATGGATGTCATGCTGCTCTAGCTTCTCTCCAAGGGGAAGTAAATGATTTACCATGGCAAGCTGACTCTAGCTGCTGCTAGAGGGATTCTGTATTTGATATTTATCTCAACACAAGGAAGTGGTTTTGCATTTCTGCTCAAAAGTTTGTAAAAGTTCTCAAGCCATGTGAATACTATTTCCAGGTTTTAGTGTGTTTCATTGCTTCCATTGCCTTTTTTCTCACCACTGCTCAAACTTTCCTGAAAGGAGGTCAACCTTTATAGTTCCTTGGAAATTGAAACAAAATGTTTCAATTCTGGCTACTGTAAAGAGAATTTTCTTCCTCTGCTATTGATAGAGACAGCACTCCTTCCTCCTGCTCACAGAGGTTTTTCACAGCTGTTTCCAGAAGATAGGCTACTCATAAAACTTGCCAGGTTTCTTCTAAGCAGCATTAGCTAAAATTGTTTGTTACTTTTTCCAAGCTATACATTTTAGTAGTCCAGAGTTAGCAATTAGGCTCCTCAAGTGCGGTTTGATTGTTCCTGATGTAAGAGCAGACGTTTTACATTACCCTTATGGATGCTTGTGTCTCCTTGCAACCTTTCAGATGCTGTTGAATGTTCCAGTTTCTTGATCAATGCTAACTGGCAAGGAAGTGTGCTAATCGAGCAATGACCAAAGGCTGCTGCTTAGCAACGGAGCTCAGGAGCTGTGCTGGGATAGCTGGGGCACCCAGATCCACCTGTACAAGGTAGAAGAAAGGCATGTGTTGCACGACCCATTTTTGAACAAACACTTTCCCCAGGCTCAACTAGCTCTGGTGCTGCACATAAAATATTAAGCACAAAAGTAGTTTACAGCCAAATACTGTAACTTCTGTGGTGGATTGGATCTTTTTCTTCCCAATACTCCATAGACTTTGAAGGCTTTGCATATTTGATAGTAGTTTCAGCAAGCACAAACCACACTGGTTTTGGGTTTGAGCTTAAATATTGCTAGTTCAAAACACAAGTGTAGTGTTACATGCATAAAATGTGTAGAAAATTTTAAAATGCGTTATAAAGGTATATGCTAATCATTACTATTTAAGGTTAGGTTTTTTTTTAAATTACCTACATAAAATGTTTTTTTAGTGTAAGTTTAAAGGAGTAATTCTAATTGTCACTAGCTGCCTTCTAAAATAAATTACACAGCATGGTATTCTTTTCTAGATGTATTTAGGTGCTCAGCACCACTGTCTTAAAGGAGCTCGCTCTTTCAGATGACTCTGAGAAAGTCTTGCCCTCCATTGACTGCATTCTTAACTAGAATCCTCATCTTCTCTTTTGTATTTATTTAAATACAAAAACTTAATGACTTCTCTTGAAGAAAGTTAACAACATGCATTTCCATATGTGTCAAAAATAGCGTTAGCAGAGGTAGAAGTCTATGTCCCCAACAAGATAGAAATGAAAGTGAGATTCTCCAGTCCGTAAACACTGAACATAGCATGTACTGGTTCACTGTGCAAAAGCAGAATGTACAAAAGTTGTGAATAAACATTTAGAAAAGAGACTTGGTGTCCAAGGCAGCAAATTCATATAGCATAAAAAACTGGGGATCATGTACATAAAAGCAGAATCCTAATTAGACTGTTATTGAATATGATGTACAGTAATGAAAGGTCTTACCTGAGCCATATAAATAACTCTGGTGATATCTCTTCCATTCACCACATCAGGTTCCAGGATCCATGCACTGGGCAAAATTTCCCCTCTCACCACATCTTTACAAGGGTGAGGCATGGATGCATCGTACACAGACTGAATAGCCAAGACAGACAAGTTCTTCTGCATGAAAGAAAGTGTAAAGAAGAGAATTTTAATTTTTTTATGCATGCAGTATTGTTTTGTTTACCATGAGGCATATTTCTCACTGAATAAGCTCCTGTTTTATTTTTTTTTTGTCAGAATCCTGCTTGTTTGTAACCAGAATATGCTGAACAGTTGTGAACCAAGTACTATTAGGCAGTAACAACTGTCAGATGACAGTAGATTTAATACATAATTCATTTCTGTCAAATGAGCATAGCTTTTCTTCCTATTACAGCTTTCTCTGGAACTATGAGCATAACCTTCCCTTCCTTCTGCTCTTGAACAGTGAGTTCAGACAAGTTAGTCAGTCCCCTCTGTCTTACAGAAAATACGCACTTACCTCTTTGGCTTCTACAGTAATGCAGCAGAAATCCCGTGGCTGCTGTAGGTAACACAGGGAGGTATCAGTCACTAAATACACTGCAGAAAAAGTATCCAAAACCAACAACAAACAAAGGGGAAATTAATTAGGCTTTGACAACTGTAACTTGTCACAATTCCCCCCATCCTTCAAAATGTATAAACAAATCTTATTTGAACTTGTTGCAGCTAAGAGCAAAGTTTTAGCTAACATGAAGATGCTAATATTAATATTATGTAATTTAAATGATACTTTTTTGAAGTACCTGTATGTTATACTTCTGCAGCATATGATTTGTAATAGCTGTACTTTGAAAAAGTCTTGCAAAATGCAAGTTCCTAGATTAAGTAATGAAACTGGTTCTTCAAGTCTGAAGAAACAAGGTGAGATGACTGTACATTTCTTTCTGGCTGATCTGAGCTGAAGAGTCCATAATAATAGTTCTGATCAGTCACTGAAGCTGGTACTCACCCAGCTGAATGTGGCTCGTTATCTTCTTGTGTATTCGAGCTGTGTTGATGGATGTGTCATACAGATGCCTTTTGCCCGGATCTCTCACTAATCCCCACACATATGCAAGAGGTCTTTCTATCACTCCTGCTCCCAAAAATCCATGCTTTGTTGCTGAAGGGAAAACTTTGTAGTAAACCAGCACCTCTTTTTCTGTACATTGGTATCTGTCAAAGACAAATGAAAGGTATTGGCACAAAAGATGGTCAACTGCATTAAAGATCTTCCATTATAAACACCTGCCATAAACTTACTTCCAGCCAGCAGCTGCTTGGCAGGTGTAGAGATTCCTCAGGTTATGAGAGCATGCTGCCATTACCTTAGAAAACAATGACAAATGTACATGTAAGTGGAAGTTATCCACATTTTAAATTATGTGTTCAGCTTCTGTGTGCTGCTACACTATCTTCTACTCAAGCTATTCAGTGGGCTTTACAACAAATAGTTTTCTTGTTCTAGTATTACTCTGGGAGTATTAACAGTCAGACTGATAAGTCCAGCCTGCACAATAGTGTAGACATCTGTGAGAAGCCTGCACTGGGGGAAACGTGCATCTCCAAGTCAAGTGATTCCATCTGATGTGAAGTTTGCATGCTTTGCTTCTGGCTACATAGGCATACAGATATTTAAGACCTGCACTGTACAAACCTTTTGGAGCTAGAAGCATTCAGCATTAGCACCAGCTTCACTTGAATATTTCAGCTCACATGCAGCGGTCATTCCTGTGCTCCACTGTTACAGCCTGTTTCCTCCCACTATTTAAAATTGCTGAGCATATCCTGCTATACCCAGCACTAATTACCTACTAGGAGTGCAGAAGAATAAGGTTTGTCTCACAAACTTTTAGTACAACATCCAGTAGAAGGAATAAGCAAAAACTGTGCTTGTTTACTCACCTCGGTGGTAGCATTAGCCAAGATATGTTTGGATAAATCCTGGTATCCTTGTGTTGACGAGGAGCTTACTGAAATAGTTAATCCATGAGTGAACCTACAGCTGATGCTGTCTGAAGGAAGTGGTGGCTCAATTCTGCTGTCTTCTGCAGGACACAGAATTGTCATAGGAAAGTAATAAAAAGGAAAATGATCACTGAAGTGGTGCAGAAGATGTAGCATTGAGCAGTTAGAGGGACTGCTCTCCTAAAGAAGGACTGTTAGCATCCTTTGTCTGGACAGCCCACATACTGGTAACTGCAGTGTAATTACATTTTGCATTACTCAAGTATAAACATTATTAATCACATATAAGCTAATAACCTAAAGAATAATATGAAACACGACTCTAGGAATACAAATAACAACTTGCATGTACAATCCAATACTCCTTGCAGCCTTAGACCCATGCTTCTTTGGTTCGTTCAAGACATCATCCTCTTCACAGCTTCTCCAAAGACTGTACAGCAATGCTACAACATCAGAAGACTAGCTTTCTTAAGAGGAACTAAATCTCCAGTTACTTTTCTATGCTTTAGATACTGGTTGACAATATTTTTTTCTTTGAATTCATGTATTGGTAAGACAGCTTCAAAACACTTAGAATCAAATTACATTGGTATTTGCATAAATAAGAAACCTAATCAAGTTTTGGGATACAACACAAAAATAAGCAGGTGGACATACGCTTTACTTACCCAGTGTTGAATCCTTCTGTAGTTGCTCTATCATAAAAAGCTGACTGTTTCTAACAGCTGAACGACCTCGTGCGTCTCTTGAAAGCAATGCACTTCCAGAAGAAACCTAGTTTAGCAAAGAGCAGAAGCGTAGGAGACTTTTGGTTTGAACCAAGAAAAATAAATTGTTACATTATCAAGAGGAATATCTGTAACCAGCCTGCCTTTACGAAACTGGAAGCTTGACATTATGATGGATTAATTTCTTTGCCTCTCTCTTCTTGCTGGTTATGAAATGATAGCTCAGCTGAGGAAGTTCAGCAGACCAAGTATGACAAGCTAGCATAGGTGCACACTTCAAAAAGCAACTTGAAGTTTAAACACACAAACTTTCAACTCCCTGCACGCATCTTTCTTCAATGAGGAAGGCACACTGAAAATACTAGATTCTGGCTCATCACAAAAAAAGTTCTTTATTGCTAAAATATGACAAACAGTGGCATTGATGTCAGTAATAACACACTGGCTTTTAGTTACAAGTTAAAAAAAAGTGAAAGATGAAATTGTTGTTGTCCTTTGCAGGACATGTTAATGCTCCCTCCTCCCCCACGTAGCCCATCTGTGTGTTAGTGACACAAACTTGTCCTGCTCGATAGCTGTGACAGAATATAAACCATCTAGAATGAGGTTTCTGTCCCTGTTATCTCTCTCTTACTGTTAAAACATTAGGGGACATTGGACTTGCAGGCCAGTTGTTTCTCACCTGTCCTTCCCAGCTGCTGAGTTTACTTGCAGTGTATGTAGCAGTATTGCTGCTGTTGTAACCTGATGTTGGGCCAGAGGATAGGCTGAGGCTGGATTCTGTACATAAGGTGCTTGTACTTGCAAGAGTCTTCAGCCTTGCTTCCTCCTGTAATAGAGATCAGAGCATCACAAACTCGTGTAGCACTTAGTCAAATCAGTAACAGCACTGAAAAATGACAGAGGAATAACGTGAAGTCCATTTTCTTTCAGGGAGTATTGACAAAAGCTGTTACTTTTTGCTTCAACAGAAGGTATTTAATAAGCAGACTCATTTGAAACTGTAAGACTGTATGAGCAAATCAATGCATCAATCTAGGAAAATCTGGGTAACTGAAGCTTCTCACATTGTTCCTTTGCTAAAAGAATCTAGGCTTTCTTTCAAACCAATTGCCAGACATCTTAAGGGGGAAAAGAAGTTTTTAAAAAAGATCTTTTCTCAGTCCCATTTGTTACTTTTTTGCCTAATTCTTGTGCTTAAATTATTGGTCACATTTAGTTGTTAAACACTGAAGATCTTACTGCAGCTCAGTGCCAGCCCAAAAGATGAAGAAAAAATTACATAAGAAAATACCGAGAACTTCAAGATGATTTATTCTTCCAAGGGTACTTTTAAGTATTTGGTTTTCAATTCAGCTGAAGTTTCACGAGACAAATATGGAAGCAGATGTGGTAAGAACCAGTCACCCATTGGAGATGCCTGAATTCTAGGTGCCTTGCAGGGCAGAGAGCAATGAAATGACAGTTCACCACCTGTGAGGGAAAGGCTGCAGTTCTAACTAAAACTGCACTGTCAGGCTGTAACAAAGATTAGTGCATAAAGGTGTAGTCAGAGACTGGGCAGAACACGTACTTTCCAACAAGGTATTGTCCTCAAATACCAGACAAGTCACACTCATTGTGCAAAACAGGTAACAAAGTGCAGAAGTTAAAACAAAACATGCACACACGGGACAGCATAACAAGAGAAAAAATAAAGAAATAGATGAAGGTCTTTCTGCTTAAGTACATACTGAAACACTGAAATAAACTTATTCTCTTTAACAAAACTTTTCTGAAGATTGGGTATGTTCCCAGCAGGATGACTCCAAAAGCTTGATCCAAAGTGAAAACAGAATTTTCTTGTACAAAAAACGTGCTCAAGAATTAGCTCCAGGAAGATGTAGTTCAGAAGCACAAATAAAATAACAGTTATCAATCTCAGTAATACTGATTACTGAGAATGTTTTTAAGCCCAAATTTGCATTTCATTATTTGTTTTTCTATGCATTATGTCAGGAAAATTATTGAGCTGTAGAAGCTTATTTAAAAAATGCATCCATGTGAATAATGGGGAACAGTTTCCTCTGTAATGCTTACCTTCTGCAACTGAGCAAATATTTGCTCCCTTATACGTCTTTTCTCTTGCTCGGCTCTCTCC